TTTGTTACCAATGGAACTGAACTTCAAAATCCAGCTTTTAGAAAAACAAAGAAAAGGTTCCCTAACTCCTGGGCCCTTGAGTCGTGTCCAGACTCAGCGTGCCCACAGCTGAAGCGCTCTGACATCTCAGACCCATCCCACACGCTGACGTCAGTGAGAAGAACTCTGACGGCACCGCTGGCATCGCCGAAGAAGAATGTTGCTCAAACTCAAATTCAGCAAAGTCACAAGTTTTAGGCACGGAATCTAAACTAAGGGGGGAAAAAAGAACCCACATCTCTTTATTAATCTCAGAGTCAGAGAGACTGTCCCCCTGACTTTTGGAAACAGACTGAATAATGAACACTCTTAAAATGACCCCGCCACGTTTCTTGTCTATCGGCGATAGTAAATGTTCAGACTGTCTTTTTACACGGAAATTGTACTGTCTACACACAACATGGTTTGATGATAAATGGAGAAGCATGGGAAGAAACTGAGGTATAGATCTGACACACATGTAATACAGCAGAGGCTTCCCACACCGATTCCGGTGCAGATTGGCATGTTATTTATTTACAGTGGCTACCACAGTTACGCTGAACTGTCTACCTCCGTGACAGATTCACCTGTTTCATAGCCTTCAATGAAGGAGGGAGAATGGCTCAGCAGGCCTGAAACCAGGCTGACTGGATGGAGGGAGGCCAATTTCCCCCCCTGTCCTGGCCTCCACCCACAGCAAACAGTCCTGGTGCCAGTGACAGAAGCCCCTCCCCAGGAGTGGCTCCCAGGATAAACCCCAGGGGACACATCTTCCCACAGCTGACAGGGAGATCGTTGGGTGCGAGTTAAACAGGCTAGTTACCTAGAGCCACTGGGATATTAGGGGAAAAGAAAGAGGAGGCTGTCAGGTCCCCCTCCCCCTTGTCAACAACTCCAATCCCAAGGTCGGTGGCTGGCCTAGGCCAGACCAAGCCCAGCTCTGCATGCAGTGGGGTGGTGCCCACAGGCACCTCCGCACCGTTCTGCATCCTGGGCCAGGAAAGGAGGGCTTCTTACTCTGAGCAGGTTTGATTTTTATTTTTGGTACTGTTACAGTCTTTAAGCCAGAGCATCCGACGGGAAAGTGCTAGTTTGGTAAGCTCGCCTTTGGGAAGGCGCCGGTTAGGATTTTCCTATCTGGGATGTTTCTCTAGGTTCATCTTATAAAATAAATCAAAGGAGAAAAGACAAGTTGGCTAATGAAAACCAGAAGCCACAACTAGTTATGTTACAAGTCGGGTCTGGTCTAGAACGGGCCTCCTGACCTAAGAACAAAACAATAAAATCTGATCCTTAATTGCTAAACAAGTATTAACATTAAGAAAGATTTCTGAAACTTTTGTTTTCGCTGTAAAAGTAACACAACAGGATCCTGGACTTGTGGCCTCTGCCCTGGCCTGCCAGGTCCAGGGACAGGGTGATGATCTGTCTTTCCCTCCCCGTGACGCTGCAAAGGGCCAATGCGAGGCCTGGCAGGCCTTCAATTAATATTTGTTAAACGAACTATTAAAGCCAGTGAAGTATAATGAAAGGGAATCAGAGAAACTTCTGTTTTCTGTTATCCTGGAAGATTAAGTCAGGACTAAAATCAGACTCCTCTAAAACAGAAATCATAAACATATAATCAAAATTAAATGCTTAAAAACATCCCAAAATGTTTAAAGAAACGAGGAGAGTCTCTACCAATGTGAAGTAAAACCAGCCTCCAAGACACTAAGGCATGAAGATGACTGTCGTGCGGGCATCCGAAGTGACGGTCAGAACCATGGAGGGAGCAGAAGGCCCTGGCCACAGGGACAGGGGGGGTCACCACAGAAAGCCCGCTGCTCAGGGGCTCACTTCACACTCGGGCACGGGTGTGACTTCTCGTCAACCCATCAGCCCTGTCCGCACACCTGTGAACTAGTGCGCTCGGTCTCCTGGTCAAAGCACTTACCGTCCTGTCTTCTCGAAGTTTTGTGGTCCTCCTCCTCTCCACGGAGGTGACCCCACTTCTCTCATTGAGCAAATGCTGAGAGCAGAGAGAGGACCTCTCACCCCACACCGACTGACGCACCCAGGTCCACGTCCAGACGTGCCCCGCACGGACCCTGCGTCCCACAAACGCCCCTCCTTTTCGGGTCCCGCTCCAACTTTCCCACTCGGGGCTTTCCCTCTGCAACTGCCCCTCCTCCTCTAGAGTTATGGGTGACTTGTTTTTCCCTACGCGCTTGATAATATTTTCTGTAATATGATTGTGGCACATTTCTCTGTATGTGCTGTTTACGAATTACGGTAGGCTGAGCCAGAGAACTCTTAGGCTGCGTTGATAAACATTCGACTCTGTTCCATTTCTGTTTTTCACAGGATATTTCAAAATCTACACCGGTTCCCGAGACCTAAATCCTTAACCAATAAGCGAAACTCATGGTCGCAACTTCATATTCTAGGAAGGGTTGCTCCCCATCCCAGCGGCTGACGCTCGGAGTCAGAGGTGTGATGAGTGAGGAAGTGCAAACGGCCCGATCCAGAGCCTTGAGGGTCAAGTCCAGGAAAGCTACCTGACCTGGGGGAAGACCAGGCCAGAGGGCTTGGTGAAGCAAAGCCATGAGCGCTGTACAAGACTACACTATAGAGAGTAAACTAAACGTGGCAGATCCACACCCCGGGGCGCTGTTCAGCAAGGAAAAGGAAGAAGGTACTGATAGATGCGGCATTAAAAACAAATGCCAACACTCATTTCGCTAAATGAAGAAGCAGCCAGACGCGGAAGATTACAGTGTAAAAGAACAGAAAAAAACTTACCGGGGAGAGGAGAGGGGGTGTATTAAAAGAACTAATTAATTTAAGATGCAGGCCAAAATATTAAATATCATGATCTCTTAACAAGTTAAGTTTTGTAGAACAGGGAAGAGACACGTTCTCAAACTCAGGGGAAGTCTGTTTATAAAAGACACAGCTCACTCGTCTCTGTACACTGGCCTGCAGTGATGGTTCTTGGCTCATTTACGCCAATGCCATTGGCAGGGACAGTCGTGAGGCTCATCATCTTCGCACAACTGAGCCATAAGGCATTCAGCTCGTCCCAATTTCCATCAGTCAAGTCTGGTGTCGTCTCAGCACAGCAGAGTTAAAGGAGCACCACATTTCAACTTGAAATGCGCTCAGCGGTTCCCACTCTCCCCCCGCGACTATTCCACATCCTTTAAAACAGCAGTTCTCGAGGTGCCCATGTATGGTGGCAGAGAGACAGGGTTGGGCTGTGGAGGGGCATACGGAGGGGCACCAGGCTGGCCTCTGCGACCTGCACAACGTGATAAAAGTCTGACTGTGTTGCCCCAGTCGGGGGACTGGGCAGGAGAAGCAGGTCGTACTTGTCAGATGTACTGGGGAAGAAAAGGTTGAGAAGCATTGATTTTAATAAAGCTTAGTATTCACTGTGAGAGTACAGATATTTTATGGTACTTAGTAATTACGTTTAGGAGGATATTAACATATTACTGGGCACAGTCATAAGTTTTCATCGTGTCTAAAGAGAAGAGATATTTCAGCTTTCATCTGCATTTTAATAAGGCGTAACAACAGTGCATGTGGAAGCCGGTAAAGTCCAAATCAGCACTGCTACCCATCAGACTGCAGTTCACCTCCTAACAGATACATTTAGAACATAAATTTAAATGTTTTTATAGTCAGGAAAATTACCTCAAAGGCTTTTTCCTCTAGCTTAAAAAATGCACTTCCCTCAGTATGCCATATAAACGGCAGTACTCCGTAAAGTTTATGACCTGCTATGGATGAAGACAGTACAAAGATCAAAAGAAAACACTCCCTGGAACTCCCTCAGCCCAAAGCAGCTTCGCGGCCATTACAAGAAGACCTGGGGCCACGGGCTTCTCCAGGGAGCACTGAACCTGCACCCCTATTTGGGCTGAGCACACTGCAGACGCCTCTTACGAGTCTCAAGTTCATTCTGGTCAAGTCTGCTCTGCAGATGCGTTTGAAGTCTATTGGACCACACCCATAAACAGATACGCGGCCTCCTGCCTGGCACTGCGGTCTTCATTCGTAAAGAAACTACTGTGTATTAACCCGAAACTAGCAGCTGGGGAGTCTCTCAGAACTACCTTGAGCACCCGCTGACCTCGACCACCACCATACTGACTCTGGATCTTCTTACTTTCTCACTCCACACGGTCTCCCTACATTTCGTGATCCACTTCCCTCTTCTGGACCCCCCAGACCTGCAGTGTTTAATCTGCCCCACCCCAGTCTTCCCTTACCCTGCAAGGCTTGTGTAGGGGCCTTGACTAATGTCCCCACGGCGAGAACTTGTCACACGGCCTGTCATGACTCTAGTTCCTCCTCCAGCCGAAGCCCCCTGAGAACTGCGAGCTGTGTTCTTCATTCCCAGCAACCCCCCCACATACAGCTGGTAATCGGTACATGTCTGCTGGATTGAATTTAGATCATGGATATTTAAAAATGGTTTGTGTTTTACACGTGTTGCTCCTGGTAATAACAGTAAAATGTGCAGTTTGAAGGAAAGAAACTGCCAGGTAAGGAGAAGCCTCAAGCTAATCAGAGAAAGTCCAATTCTCCATTTGTATAATAAAAAATAGTGATGCTGTACAGAAATTAGTGATGCCCACTTACATATGAAGATTATATCCTCTTTATTTCCTGGCACTTATTTTGAGCCAAGTCAACACAGAATTCTGCCATCAAAAGCCTCACATCCATGTCCCCAGAGCTTTAACATAATAGCCAAACTGGCAGAAGCAACCCAACGGTCCATCAGTGGGTACACACGGTGGCATATTTTTCAGCTTCTAAAAGGAAATTCTGGTACATGATATAACATGGATGAATCTCGAGGACATTTTCTTAAGGGAAAGAGTGCAGTCACAAAGGGTCAAATGCTGTATAATTTCATTTGTATAAGGCAACCTCAAGCGGTCCGATTCACAGACACGGAAAGAACAGTGGGAGGGGGAGCGGGTGCCGCCGTTCCAGGGGCCGAGGCGCAGGGGGCAGGGGAGGCAGCGATGGCTGCCGAGCAGCGTGAATGCTCTAAATGCCGCCGGGCTGTGCAGTTTAAAAAGGTTACGTTTTAAAGTTTATAGTACGCCTACTTTACCACAATTAAAAATAAAAATGCCTCACATGCAAAAATGCTGTATTTTACTAGGGCACTTTCCAAACAAAATTCTGACCTGTGTTTAAAGTGAATGTAAATTAAGCAAATTATGGAAAGAGTAAGGAGAGGTATGGCAAGTGCAAGAAACACTATGAAGAATAAAAATAGAACCACAGAATAATGCCAATAATAGCTTCCATTTATTGAAGCTTATTAAATGCCAAGCAGTGTGCTAAGTGCTTTACATGGATTAATTCATTCGAAGTGACTATGAGAAGCAGGGGAGAGATTAGGGAGACGAAATCACTGGCTGATGGCCTCGTAGCTCAAGAACAGAAATAGTTCGACCCCAGGTGCTGGGGTCTAAAGCCCACGCCCTGACCCACGATCTGCTCGGACAGAGGGACTGGAGGCCTGGCGAGGAGACGTCAAAACCTAGGAGTAATGGAACCAAAGTCCACGATCTACGGAGTACCTTTCAGGTGCCTCGCACGTATGGGATGGAAGAGATTCCAGTCAGAGGGGGAGGCAGACACGGACGTAAACGACAAGGCAGCAGCAGCTGAGAGCTTCCTACGAGGCAGGAAGAGACGACAGGGCATCTGACACCGAGTGTCTCACTCAGACCCACACATTCCTGGCAACACAAGCCCTGAACAAATATTGACTAAATGAAATGAAATGAGTCTACAAAAATATACTCTGTCTTCCAACGCATCTGAAAACAGCAGCAGAAGGATCGACTGAGTTTTATTCTTCTTACAGAGCAGAAATGTGCCAGACTACGGCAATCACTGACACTCAAACCACAGTGACGAGGGACCTGGCTTTGTGTTCAGACCACCCGTGTCCTGTGTCCACAGCCACGGCACAGGAGTCCACGTTAGAGGGCTCCCACGTCACAGGCTGGAGGCGGCGGGTCATTAGCACGTGCAATTTGGACTGCCACACAAAATTCCCACTGTAACCTGGGTGGTTTTGTTTCTCTAAAGCAAGATGGAGAGACAACAAGAACAAAGACTCTGGAGTCCTGTCCCCTGAGCACTTGGACTCCTGGATTCGGGCCACATCCCTTCCCGCTGTCCTGCAGGCCTCTCCATACTTAACATCCATGAACACATCACCCCAAGAAAACATTTGCTAACAGGTCAATGCCAAGAACTGGAGGGATGGGTCTCACTTCCAGAGCCTTAAAATAATTGCCACTTGCTATGCTTACCTCAAAAATCAAACTGGCGTCTTCTTTACTAAGATATTGTAATGGGGTGCAGCCAAGGGGGGGCCCAAAAGGGATTTGGAATGGGGTCCAGAACTCAAGTCCAGGAAATATTAGAAAAAAAAATATATATAGGATGTTCTCACCCCTTCCCCCTCAGGTGTGAGTTGGGGGAAGGAACAAGTGGAGCAGGGCCACTGAGAGCTGGTTTGTACAGCAAAGGCAGCTAACCTCTGGCGTGGTCATTTAACACATCTATAACCTTTAACTGGCTGCATAGATACGTTAAATAGCGGTGGCCATGCTCTGAGCCAGGAGGATGGAAGTGACTTCCATCCAAGATGTAACTGGGGGCAGGTCCCCAGGTGACAGCGCCTGTGTGAGGACTTGGAAATGATTGGCTCCTCGACATGAGGCCACACCTGCCCAGACCCATGATAGCAGCCCAGGAAAGCTGGAAGGATACCGGAGTGCTGACCAGTATAACTGATTGTAGGAGGAGTCGGAAATGGGGCTGCAGAGAAGGACTGGTGCGGGAATTTAAAACCCAGATGCGGCCGACATTGGGAGGGCCACATGCAGCTTTGCAGAGAGGACCACACGGCTTTGCCGGAGTGGAGACCCCCGCAGCCATGTAAGGGAGAGTACCACATGGATTCCGGGTGCTCCCTTTGGCCACGTGGCCTGGGAAGCAGGAGAGACTTTGCCTGGAAGATGGGTACAAAGAACTCTTGCCAGTAGGCCATGAAAAGGTACCACATGGCTTTGGATTAATTAGAGATCCTGCCTGGACAGTGACACAGCTGATGGTGCCAGCGGCCTGGATCCCAGACGTTGGCTTGTTTCCCTGAGTTACGGTACCCCAAATTAGGGCAGGGGGATAAGGAAGCACTTATCTGTGTGTCTGTGGGTATCCTAAAGGACTTTCATATTTTAAATGAAGACTTTAGGTCACTACTTTAAGTCTGTACAGCATTAAATAAACATTTTCTTTCCTTTTCACAAATCTCTGGCATTGAGAGATGTCTTTCTTATTGGCGACAGACATAACGAACCTGTGTGTGTGTTGTTCTGTAACAGTTTTTGCCGTCCCTGGGTAGGCCAAATAATTGCCCCCCTTGGCTTTGTTCTGTGACAGCACCTATTTACTTTTCCCCTGCATGCTTAAGAATTTCTGTATGAATATATACTGTACCTTGTTCCAATATCAAGCCAGCTGCCATAATCCTTGACCAAGAAGAAAAAATGCTGTGAAAAGAAAATAAATATGGTTCCATGAAAAACAAAGACTGTTTAGATTCAGTTGAAAAACAATGCTGTTTTAGGGTCATGTTTCAGATTTCTGACCCCTCAGAACCACTACAGTACTGGAATCACTAAGAATGTGTCTCTTAATGAAATTTTGCCTTGGGCTAAGGTGTGCAATAGTCTCGAAGCCAGAAACAGCATTACCATTCAGTCAAATCAACATAAAAGTGAAATTTGTGAATAACCAGAAATAAAGAGAACCAACTTTAAAACAAGGCATTATACGATACAAAGGCCTCAGTGAAAAGAAGCCAGAGCATCCATCCATCCATCAATGTCTACTGACCGCCTGCCACGTGCTGATCACTGTGGTAGGTCCTGGTTTGGGGACATTATAATGGAATGGGTGATCTGTCAAGGCACCAGGCACACACGCACATGTGTGCGATGAGTGTGCCCCCCAGAACACGCCGGCCATTGTGGGGGCCCAGAGGAAGGGGCACACACCCTGCCTGGATTGTAAGGGAAGGCTGCCCCAATAAAAAGTCCACAAATCCACATGAAAAGTGCGAGTCAGAGGAAAGAGGGAGCCGGGAGGAGTCTGTTTCTGACAGAGGGAGTGACCTTTACAGACATCGACGGCCCAGGGAGAGGTTGGCAGGCCCCAGGTGTGGCTGGGGTCGAGAAACAGGAGGGACGGGTGAGGGATGATGCCAGGCACAGATCACTTTCTAAGTTAGATGAAACCATCTGACTCTTTATACAAACTTTGAAATCAGAATTTAAATTCTCTTCTATTAACATCCTGCCTATTCGCCACTTTGGGACCGAAACTGAAAGCTGGTTTGTCCTAATGTTATGTGTGGTCAATTTCAGAAATATACAGGCATGCCTGTTTTATTACACTTTGCTTTATCTATTTCTTCACAGATACCATGGGTGCTCTTTTCTTATGTAAAATGAAGACAGGAGGGCCTCCACCGGCAAAAGGGTTATGACCCACTTTACCGTAACGCTCGCCTCACGGTGGTGGTCTGGAACTGAACAGACCTGCAGTTTCTCTGAGGTCTGCCTGCACTGAATGCCCAGCTCCATACAACACAAAAACGCTCTCATCTAAAACGACCAGGAGCCTGATGTGAGAAGTTGCCGTCATTGCTGTCTCTAATCAGTTCTCGCACAGGCTGCTGCACAGCGAAGAATTAACTGCACCCCAGGAGGGGTCTGTCTTTTGCCCTCATCTACTAGGAGGTGATTTCTGGCCATGCCTGATAAGAAATGTTTTGCCTAGGGGGCGCTGGTCACTGAACAGTCTAATGATGTGACTTTTGTGGGGGGTCTGGACCACATGATATCAGTTCTACATCTATAAGGACCGGAGATTAAAGGTCAGCCATGGGGACAATATGCTATTGGGCGCCAGTAACGTCTGGACCCCAAGGGCCTGGTGACTGGGCTGGCAGTACTGTCTTGTCACACGCAGACCCTAGAAGGGCGACGCTGCCCTGGCTCTCCAGGGAGAGGACGACCAGGGCTCCACCCTGGGGACCCTCCTGGACTCTGCCCTCTGCACCTCCTACTGTGGCAGATCTTACTTAGTCTGCTTCCCTTCCCTGGAAGACACCATACCTGTGAATGTCACAGGCTCCAGTGAGTTCTGTGAGTCTGTCTAGTGATTATCAAGCCCAAGGGTAGTTCTGGGAGGCCCCTGAACTTGCAGGTAGAAAGTTAACATCTTCCCATTTGAAAAGCTCTATTTCCTCTTTCCTTCTGCTCCTCCTTCCCTACCTTTTTTCCTTTCTTTTTCAATCCTAGAAAAGGGTTTTAAAAGAATTTCAAGTTGGAAAATAATGTATTGCCTAAATCTAAAGTTAGCTTTTCTGTTAACTTCCTATGGAAGTTCATTCCCGACCCATGCACCACAGAGGACTAGGTGTAAAATGACAGATTTGAATAAATCAAGGAAGAAGACTTTTGACACCTTAACAAGAGCACTCTTACTGCCTAAGTCATATAAAAAGAAACTCATTCATTATGTGTGTAAATGATTCCAGCGCGTAACTCAATACCTAAAGATTTCACATACAGAAATACCCTCTTATTTATCTTGATTGAATTAACTTAGCATCTAGCTTCTCAATCTTATTTACACTGAATATCTAAGAATGTCTTACCAAAGCCATAATGTCTGATATGACGAGAACCATGAGAAAAAGGCTGTAAAAAAAACAACAAAAATTACACATGTAATAGAACAGGCATATTTTTAAATCACATTAAAATCAAAATGAGCCCTGACCGGGTAGCTCAGTTGGTTAGAGCATCGTCCCAATACACCAAGGTTGTGGGTTCAATCCCCAGCCAGGGCACAGACAAGAAGCAACCAGTGAGTGCGTAAATAAGTGGGATAGCAAACTGATCTCTCGCTCTCTCTCTGTCTGTCTCTCTGTCTGTCTCTCTCTCCTAGAGGCTAAGTCTAAGATCAAGGCTTTGGCATGTACACACACAAACACACATGTGTACATGCACAGACACATTTTGACGAGCCTTCTACTTTTCATTTCATATGTCCCCAGCTCTTTTCGTTTAAACATTAATTAAAATCTCTTCTAAAAATGCATCCATTAATAAGTGCGCAAGTACCATTAGTTACCAGATTTTTATTGTATCTAGGTATCTTTTATGTGATACTGGTAACGTATAAATGCTTTCAATGTTAAATTTATGTAAATATTCTGAATACATAAAATTAAACTAAAAGCCAGATTTTTACTACTTTTAAACTGGGAAAAAATCTGTTCTTTATTACGGCACATGCATAATAACATGCTGAACCAAGTTCAAGACTAAACTCATCAAGAAGAACATGCAAATCTGTGATAATATTAGTTACTTTCAGCATCAAATATGCCAGTTTGATTAAATTATAACTGAACTTTTAAGAAATGTCCTATTTATCTCAAGTATCTTTCAGAGAGGCTGGTAAGTCCAGTGCTGATGAGGCAGTTTTTTCAGTAGAGGCAATTCTACCAAAAAAAATTGTGGAGTTGACAGCGTCTCTTCCAGAGGCCCCAGTGCTATAGACTGACTGCTCCAGAAACTTCCCCCAACTCAGAAACGCTTCCCATTCTGTTTGTCAAATGCGTAGAAATCACGACTGAATTTAGAATAGCTGATTTTAAAACATGCAAAACGAAATAGTCTTAACACGTTCATCTAACGCATGTTTAAGAAATAAGTCTCCCCCACCAGTGAGGACCAAAGCCCTCGTTTGCTGGGCGGACGCCGATGTGTCTGTACATACGAGCTGTTCATTGTGATGACCGAACACCTGCGTTTTACTGTCCTGTGAGGGGCTCTTCACTAGCTCGGATGGTCGTCCAATGACATGTCGGGGCCGGGAAAGCACATTTGCCCCTAGAGGCCCTGGTTTCCTGACTTCCTCTAGTGAAACAACTCCGATTAGAGGGCAAACTATTTTTTAAAATTTTTGTAACAATCTGTTACAGTGTCTCAATGACAATCACATGAAGTACCCTCACATGCTTACGCTCATTTCCAGAAAGTGGCAATCCCGATGGTTCTCACACACTCCTCGTACCTTTTCGATGATAACTGGGTGGTTAACTGAACGGCTTCCAATGCGCACATCACAAGAACAAAGGGGATTAAAATCTGTTCAAAGAACAACAAATGATGCCACACTGAAGCACTTGTGAAGCCTTTTAAAATGTCATTTCTGTTTATAAAAATGTGTCAAATGAATCTTCTCTCTGTCAGTGAAGAGTAAATGCTGAAACACAGCCATGACGCCAGTGACGTGCAGAACAGGCAGCTGCTTCTAGAACCCGCATCAGAGCGCAGGCAGCGTAAGCAATAACACGCATGAACACCCATTCCAAATAACACCTACTCCAAATTTCTGTTCCTCTAACTCACATTAATGGCCATGTTCAAATGACCCCGAGAGGGTGTGAGAGGCACAGACTGCCCAAGTCAAACAAATTATCGAGCCTTGTAATCCGACTCCCAGACCCCTGAGCCCATCTGGTTATTCGATACTGCAACTCCATAAACATGGTTTAGCTGCTTTACCATGGCTTTGGGTTGATTTACTTTAATACTAATTTACTTGTTTATAAAATTCATACTCATTGTAAAAATAATTTGTTTAAAAACCATGAAAAGTAAACTAAAATTTATAGTGGTTGAAAACCCATAATCCAGAGCTAACACTGAAAATATTTTACACTACTGCTTTCCAGTGACCAGTTAAAAGAATATGTATGTATATGCTTGAAATTTTTCAAAAGAGGAGAGAAGATATAGAAAAGAAATGTTCAAGACTGCATAAGGCGCTGGCCAGTGTGGCTCAGTGGGTTGGAGCATCATCGTGAAAACTGAAAGCGGCCAGTTCGGTTCCTGTTCAGGGCACGTGCCTGGGTTGTGGGCCAGGTCCCCAGTTTGAGTGTGTGAGAGGCAAAGGATCGATGTTTCTCTCCCTCTCCTTCTCCCTTCCTTCCCCTCACTCTAAAAATAACTAAGTAAGAATTTTTAAAAAGACTGCACAAGATTCATTTTCAAGTGAAGGATATACGACCAGAGTCAAGTTCAGGGGGACCTCCCTTCCAGCCACATCAGGCAAAAGAAGTCATCAAGTATATTGTCAGTAAAGCTCACTGAAGCAGGAGAGAGGTTAAAGATCAAGCATTCTAATCAAAACTCTTGTTTTTCTTCTTTTTCTTCTTGTTTTAATTAAAGACCCACAGTCTTTAACAGACTGAGAAAAAAACTACCACCACAAAAAATGTACATTGAGATTAAGGAAGCAATACCCATCCTAAAATGATCCATTAGCGAATGGAACATGAGATAATGAACATCTTTTTAACATGTCTTAAAATTACATTTGTGTTAGTGTAATAACAAAAAAAATGGTATTAACCCTATGAAGAAATACATACTTTTAACATTACTTCTGTGATCTGCATGAAATGCAACCAGCTTTTGGCAGATATTAGTTACTTTGTTCAGACAAATATATACCATTCGCCCTCTGTATCCATCATTTCAACCAACCATGGGTTGAAAATACTTTGGGGAAAAAAGTTCTGTTATTGCTGATGTGAGTTATGCAGTTAGGCCTACAATGGTTACATCTGTGCTGAAAATTTAGACTCTTTTCTTGTCATTATTGCCTAAATAAAACATTAGAACAACAAACTGCATAGCATTTCCATTGTATTAGGTATTATAAATAATCTAAAGATAATTAAATTAATCAAGAGGCTGTGTGTGGCTATACACAGATATCACACCATAGTCCACTTTCCATAAGAGCTGCGGATTTCTGTACCATCGGGAGGAGGTGGGGGTGCCCTGGAACCAATCCCCCTCAGATTCCAAGGGAGGACTGAACTGACTACATCAAATGTGCCAGGCACTATGGTGGAGGGACTAAGACAAGAGTAATGACCCCAGAGATGAAGGAAAAGCACATGAATTAAATTCCACAGGAGAGTATGAACCGCTGATATGCCGATCATTAGTCACTATATTGGTATCCTTAGCACCCAGCTGGTGCCTGGCATGTTACGGAATGTAAGCAGTTGACATATTTATTGAATGAATGAATCAATTCTAGGTACTTAGACTATGACAAAAGATGACAACATGTGGATAGTCTTGTGGCTGGGAACTCGGGTTGGGGGAACTTTCTGCAGTTTTATTGGCACTGCACTTCCCTGCAGGCTCGCATCCGACAGCACTTCCTAGGCTGACACAGAACCCCTGCTCCTCTGAAGCCAGTGAGCTTAAGAGCAAAGCAAAAAGATCAGTTTATATCGTAGAACAGAGGCCAGAGGGTCCCACCTCCCATCCCGCAGTGTCTGGGAAGCTGTCTTCTTTCCATGCCATGTGACTTTGTCACAAAGACTATATACAACCTCAATGTCACATAATGTTACAGAATCTTAATGTCACAGTGAGTTCATCACATTAACCAGTATCTTAGGAAAATAAGGAAACTGACCTTCCACAACATCAGAGCTCCCATAATAAAAGGATTGAACACGGTCAGAAAGCAGTAGACGGAGGCAAGATCAAAGCTAAGGAAGGAACATAAAGAAAATATTTTAGAATTCACACTGCAACGTTAAGACCATGTCTACTAAAAAGGATGTTTAAATGAATTTCCTGAAATCTATACTTACTAAAACACAAAGCACACACTGTATCAAGGAACATTATGAAGCAACTAGAACGAATGAGGTGAGCCCTGGCTGGTGTATGGCTGGAGTTGGCTGGAGCGTTGTCCCATAAACTAAAAGGTTGCAGGTTGGATTCCCAGTCAGGACACATGCCTGTGTTCTATATGGCCAGTATCAGAGGCAACTGACCGATGTTTCTCTTCCTCTTCCCCCATCCCCTATCCCTATCTAAGCATGCTCTTGGGTGAGAATAAAAAAATAATTTAAAAAACAAATAAAATAAATGAGGTAGGTGTGTATGTGCCAATACATATTAATCTCCAAAATATAGTCTTCAGAATAAAAAGCAAGTACAAAAATCCCAATTGTTTTACTTTTTGGAGAGATATATATACATACATACATACATACATACATACATACATACACTGTTTTTATTTAAAATTACCTGTTAATAGAAGCTATATTTCCAGTTCCAAAAAACGCTGTCACTAAGAAGAAAACCTAAAAAGAGTTAAGGAAATCCCAAAACAAGACAGAATTTAAATAAACTTATTTTTCACTTAGAAAAGACATGCCTATTCTACTACGAGGGTAATTTGCTTTCTAACTTGTACATTTGATCATAAATTGCTGTAAATCAATGCTCTAGTCATCTTCTCAGAAATGCATCTGGTGACGAGTCTGAGGAAGCAACGTACTAAGAACAACGAGGCCTGAGAGGTCGTCTGCACTTGTCACCAGTAACTTCGGGAAGACCACTGTTCCCCTCCTCTCTGACATAATTACGTATCTGGAGTTGGCCGCTAGTGATTTCTGCAAAAGGAGAAAGTGGACCCAGTGTGCGTGGTAGACACTCTCAGTTCACATGTTTGTTGTCTGCCCCCCACAGAAGTATGGTCTCCTGTTTCACAGTAATTCAACAGAGACTGGGACTTGGGAAAACGGTGACTATCTTTCTGATAGTTCCTCAATTGACATTTGTATTAGTACAGAAATAAAAAGTAGCTGTTAATCCTATTGGTGGCTAAGAACTCACTGCTGGTAAAGTACTTACATAGTGCCTGGACCATGAAAAGGCTTGATAGATGGTAACTATTTAATTGTTACAGGCACATACACAAAAGTGGTGTAAAACACTAAAGAGGAAGTATGAATCAAGACAACTTTCACTGAAGAAGTGGAATATGAGGTGGTGACTTGAGCCTTAAATGTATCCGTGGTTTCGTCCATTCAACCAGTCAATGATCCAACCAGCGTCCACTGTCTGGTGTTCATCAGAGGTGGAGCCTGGCACTCAGAGCATGCAGAGTCTCCAAGAGCTCAGATGGTGGCTAAGACCATGGTGATATATAGAGGTACATGCGAGGCACTGTCAGATACACAGTGGGGAAATACATGACATAGTCAGGAAAGTATAAATAGAACAGATGAGAGCTCAGGGTTTGCTGAAGAATATTCAGTGAGAGATGACGGAACAGGACGTACAGACCGGTGGCTCATCCATTAAAGACCTTGACCTTTACTGTGGAGACAAGAAGCGCTGGGAAACACTGTAGGTGAGTGCTATAGAAACAACACCAGTGACGGTGTTATTTGCATTGGAGAGACAGATAATTAAGAGGCAGGAAGTCCAGTTAGGAAGCCACTGCAGTAGTCCATGGCAGGGACAGTGGTAATGGAGAATGAGGAGAGCCAGTGGCACTTCCGAATTGGACAAGGAGCCATTAAAAATGACAATGAGTTGAATGGCTTGGGCGGTAGAGAGCATAGCAGTGCAGGTAGCAGTGAGGCCTGCCAGAGAGCAGCGCTGGAAAGGGGGCAGTTATTAGTCAGTTTGGGACGCTGATCTGGTGACGCCTAGCAGAATGTTGGAAGTATGGCTCTTGAGGTGAGGACGGGGTCAAGGCTGGGAAAGTAGCAGACCTCAGAGCTGTGTTCACAGGAGTGGCGGTCAAAGCCGTGGGAGAGGATGACATTATCCAGGCACAGCAGAAGGAGAAGGTTGATGATGGAGCTTGGGGAAAGACATCGTTCAAGATCAGACAAAGGAAGAGTAGTATAAGTGAAGAATAGAGATGATCTGAAAAGCTACAAAGAGAACCTGGATCACATCCTGGAAGCCAAGGGAAAGGAGACAGAAATCAATGGAGGACAGTGCTATGAGAGGTTAAGACTGAACGGCCTGGACCCTGTGCCCTCAGGGAGCCCCACCGCCCACCGAGAGGCCTGACAACTAGTCACTGTGCTGCTGTGTGCCACCCGCCATGTGCCCGGCACTGTGCGGGCCTGGGGACATAGTATGTGAACAGGGAGGAAACATTAGCAGCAATGACGGACTTTTCTTTCAAGGAGCTTGGAAAGAAGCAGAAAAGACAAGATGAAGTGACAATTGAGGGGGATGCAGGGTTCAAGGAAAGGAGTGCTTTATTCATACGAGCTGAGTGGGAGGAGCCCGCAAAAAAAGGGACAAGGTGAAACTGAGAGCGAAAGTCAGAGGCAGAGCAGAACACGAGCTCACTCTCTCCGGCCCTGGAAGGTCCGCTCCCACACCGGGCTAAGTCCAAAGGGGACACCTCCCTGTGAGTTCTTAAAGCGGGTCAGCCAGCCAGCCGTCCCAAAGTGAGACTTTACTCTGCCCTACGGTCTTTCAAACTGCTAATTCTCATAACTTTCACACAGAACCCCTCAGATGTGACTCACACCCTGAGCCACAGCTGCTGCGACAGGAGTGTAGTGTACGTTAACACACACAAAAGGATGCAAACCAAACCCACCGAGCGGTCTCTTTTGGGTGCTGGGAGTTGAGACTTTGACTTTAGCTGAAATGTTTTAATTTTTTAAAAAAAAGTATGACATGTGTGACGAAATATTAACTTAATATTCTGGATGGTAGATATGCACACACATATATATTTATGTCATTCTTTATGCTTTTCTGTAGTTTCAAAGTTTTTTAAAAGTGTGAACTATGAGAAAATTACGGTTGAGAGGGGGGTTCAATGTCCTCCAAGGAAATACCGCTATCAGGTGATGGGCAGAAACACCTTCCCTGTGTTCTTACTCCATTAAGTGGGCGGTCACAGCAACTTAAAAGCCCACACGAAGGATACGAGGAAAAAGGCCCTTCGGATGTCATCCAGACAGAGCTGTCGGCACTGGGTCAGGTCCGGGCTGCAGCAGAACTGGAGGCTGCTGACCTGCAGGCGACAGGAAGCATGAGGGGGCGTACAGGCAGCTCACGTCCGTCCGCCCCCAAAGGCAAACGCATGTCTATGCTACAACCAGAAAATCAGCAATGAGTCTTCCCCTGTAGCTTCATCACACCTTGATAAAGTCTGCCAAAAAAAATAAAGTATGTTGCTAATGAGATACTGAACAGAATTGCAGTACGGCTGTCAGTGCAGTAAGAGTGAGAATTGAGCTTTTTCTCAGCCTATGTGAACGCTTCCCTTTTAAATCCCTCCATAATTCTTCACTTTTCTATGGCCTAACAGCTCAGAGGGTCCCAATCTTCTCAAACCCAGGCATGGCACGATACTAAAAAGCATGATGAAATTGAATATTTATCTGTTTCTTTGTTCTTCTGTTAGTTCTATTTGTAGAGGAATCACTTCCTTTTTATAAAAAAGCAAAATATTTCTGTCTTTGGTAAAATAGAAAGTCACTCAATTCCAAGACAGGTACACTCTTGCTTTATGACCCCCAACCCCACAACCAATGTCAGGGGCAAGTTTAAAGGGAGACTGCCCTCAATGATATGGGAAACTTTGAAAAACCTCTGTTTAACCTTTATTTGCCCAGGCCCCAGGCGCCCTAGACAGAATGATGGGGCCGTCTGGGAGGGCGGGTGGCTGGATAGTCAGGACTGGAAATAGCACCCCTGCTGATAGAACAATTATCACATTCTGCTTCTGTATCCCACGTTTGTCACTAGACAGGAAGACCCCTAATCTATATATTCCCCAAGAATCCTTTGTTCGGGGCTCAGAATTTGGAGACTGACTCCTCTGGGCCCGTGCACATTAAACAATAAACCTCGTACTCCAGAATCCCTCGGGGTCTGGTCGCTTCATTTTCCTATAACACCCTCACCTCCACTCCCCCTGTAATTAAATTGTTCAGTAGTTTCTTAGGGCACTTTAATACTTTTTTCTAGAAAAAGAAAGACCTGTTTTCAGTTAAAATATAGAACTTAAAAAATGACCCGATGAACCTTACTTTTAAATTTAATATTAAGGTTTTTAATATTTATTTAATGTTAAAGTTTTTAATATTTAATATTGAGGATAGTCTGACCATTTACTTAAATCTGATCAAAATATATTGTTTTAATATTCCAGGACTAAACATTAAAAACCAATAATTATTCAATATATTTCAATAAAGTTTCTTTTTATTGAAATACATTAGTCTAAATATCAATTACTCTCTTTAAACTCAACTGGAACCAGTTAAGGGTAGATCAATTATAAAAGAGTTTTTCTGCAATATTCATTTTATCTGATCTCAATAAAACTGTAAACATTCTATCACCAATTTCTCATAATATCTCAGTACTAAAATAAAGGCAAGAGACATCCATTTAACTCTCAGGACAACAAAGGCGTCCTTCAACTCTGACTGGCTCTCAGTCGGTTCAAAGCACACTGTGGGGAGTGAGCAGGCTAGGACTTGCTCTGAGGCCGCAATCACTATGGTGACAGAATAAGCATCTTGGATTTGAATGACTAGAACGAGAAGAACAACACAGGAAACATGAATGTCACCTTATAATCAAATTCATTCACTGATTTGTGACAACATAAATATTCTCAGATGTAAAGATAGAGGAAAGTAAAATAAAGAACACTCCTTCTCCTCCATCCTTCATCTGTATTAACCTTTTTTGCAGCAGTGATTCTCAAATAATCTCTAAGAAAAGCCCATCCTCTATAATGCCTGTGAAACAATAAATTGTGCTTTTCTGTTAAAGTCAAAAAATGCCTAACAAGCTAACTATTTAGCTTAATTATTAACTTAATTACTAATGACTTAATAGCATAAAATTTTAAGTAGAAGTTTTGATGAAATAACAATGCAACTTCCTTATGGAATGGAGAATATTTTAATGCTCTCAAATAAATGCAACAGTGATTTTGACAAGCTACCTTCGGCTTACAGGCAACGCCAGATTGCTGTAGGCTTTCCTGTTCCATGTGTATCCAGACAAACATCAAACAGGACAGCACTAATGGGAAGAGGGCTTCATGCCTACGGGGGGGGGGGGGGTGAAAGCGGGAAGGCAGGAATGAAAGGGAAAAACGTATACAAATTAAAAGGCAAATTTATACCGAGAGGGCTTTTTCAAAATTCAAACAATCCTGATAATACTTCTAAGGCACAATATCACACAACTTAAATTTTCTGTTTTCCAGAAGAAGAAAGTAGGAAAGAAAAGTAACATTTAAACATCAACTCCAACACCATTTTTTTGAGATGTATAAAGTCTTGAGACCATGATGTGTTTAAGATAGTGGAGATACTTAAAAATAACTCATAAAGTAGATGACAGCACACAAAGAGAAAGAAGTACTGGGGCAAAGGTAAGAGGGCAGCTCCCGAGTTAAAATCATCGCTACAACACACACCAAAGGAGCAGGACAAGGGTCTCAAACTTCTTAAAGAATGGCTGCCATACAGGAACATAAAACTCTCAAAAACAACAGAAAAAGAGCCAACAGATACATAAAACTATGTTCAACCTTACTGATAACTGATACGGAAATTAAAACCACAGGGAGATACTATATTCACTTATCATACTTAGCCAAAATTTTGTAAAAATGTTGACAACAGTGTACTGAAAGAAGAAACCTCACCTTTTCTGTATAGGCAGAAAACACCTTCTGGAAGGCTATCAAACACTATGCATCAAGAATCTCAAAAACATTCACACACCACAACCCAACACTGTCACTTTAAGGACTCCCCGAGAACGTAATTAGACTTCACTGCAGTCCCCACATGAGTGCTGCGGTCCTGGTGACTGAAGGGAGAGACAGAAGCCACCTCCTCCCCACAGGTGGGTGTGGAGCACGCACCTCTGTCTAGGCTGGAGTGTGATGTGGGCAAAGGAGAGGGTGATAACTCGGTGACAGGGGCCTTTCTTGTCCTTTCAATCTCAGTCGGGACAAGGGTCCCACCACTGTAATTCCCCAAACACTCTGGATGGTGCACATCGCCTGTTCAATTCCGTGTCCTCGGGGGGGCACTCCCTGCTGCTGTGTCCGATCTCTGTGTCAGCCTGGCCAGCCTGCAGGCCCAGCTCACAAGCCTTTGGTGAGTGAGAGGGTTACGTACCCAGCTGGAAGTGACCAAACAGCTAAACAAACCAACTCTAACCTAAAAACCCCTATTGCTCTTTCACCTTTCTCAGCTGTTGAACTCTATTCCTTCCACATGGTACTGTTTTCCTAACTCGAGAAAGAAAAGAAACAAAATGCTTTCAACTCCACCGCAGGTCACAGAGCGAAGACCGGGTGGAAGGAAAGGTTCAAGGTTTGAGAAAGCAACACCATCACCTGCGTGCAAGATTCAGCATGCCCAGGGACGGAGAGACAACACACTCAGGAGAAAACACTCCTAGTGTGACCAGTGCAGAGTTACACAAAGCGACAGCACTTCTGACCTGTTTAAAACAGCACTTGATGTTCGCATTTTAAAGTGAGAACACCAAATACCGGGAAGACTATGGTGAAGCAGGGCCCTCACGGGCTCTCGGGGCTGGTGGAGACCGGCACTGCTCTTAAGACAAAAGTTAAAAACGAGCCAACAGCACGCGCTCTACGGCCTACCTGCACCACACCTGAGACGAGAACAAAGCAATCCAATGCACGGAAAAAGCTTATGCATGAAACATAATTCAAAACATCATTTATGATAATAAAAAGTGGAAATAACTAAAATGATCAAAAATAGAGGGATGGGTAAGTAAATCAAGGAGTAACCACATCACAGAATATTAAATATATATTAAAACAGGAAGCCTATGAGCCACAAAGGAAAATATTTCTAAAATCATGTTAAGAGGAAAAAAAGTTGCACAATTGCCTGTGAACTATGATCAGTACCATGTTCAAAAGACAAATACGGAGTGAGCCTGGAAGGACACATACCAGACCAACAGGAGGGGCAGGGGCAATAAATGCCTTCCCCCTTTCCCCTACCTCCGAAATGTAAGTATGCTATTTTCACAATGATTTTTAAAAAGTAATAGAATGACAAAGATTTAGAATACCTGTACCCTGGCCACTCCTTAAAACTGAGTTCAAGTCGCCTCTGAGTCCCTGAAGGCACCAGTCTCGCTCCCCTGCTGTGACCTTTTCCCTTGTCATTCTCTACATCACATGACCACAGCCGAACTCACAGCAACCTCACTGGTGCATTTGTAACCTCCTGACACTGTAAAATAAAGGGCTTGCTCTACAGCAGCTTAGGACCCTCTGAGCCACATGGGGGGCACACCTCGTTCTGCCTACATGCCTGCCTTCTGCTCAGGACCGGCCGTGCGAAAGAAAAAACAACAGATGTTGATGAGTTGAATCCAGAAGGCGGAGACTCTGAGTAAAAGAGGACTCTGCATTTTTAAACAGTGGCCGTTATATGTGTGTTTATTCTTCCCTAATATACAAAAACCTAAATTCCATAGTTCTAGAAATAGTGCTGTAGATTTCTTTCCTCTCTAAAACTATAAACTATGATTACTTCCTTTTGTAAAATGCAGATGAATAAATCTGATGAAGACAAACTTCCTACGGGGCTTTATTTCCTCAGACACTTAGTGTCCTGTATAAAGTCTGCATATCTGAATTAATAAACTGGAACACCAGTAAAATGGCATTGTGGTCTCATAGTGTACATAATAAAACAACGCTAAATCGGCATCTCCGAGCTTGGCCTCTGTGCAGACGGAACAGGGCTGAAAAGGCATTGAGTGTCGTATTATAGTGTGTGGAGAGATGATGTAAACAAAATCAGAGGGAAATCTGAACCAACTTGGAACTATTTTCAAGTCTTACAATAGCTTCTATTTGCATAAAAATAATGAAAAAATAAATCTTCTTTGTTCATACAATCAAGGATGCATTGTTAGTAAGAATTTAGGTCTACTTTACTGTATTGCTGCAAAGTAATAAATCTGCATTTCTTTTCAATATGCTGAGATTCTGACCACGCAGTAGTTTCCACAGAGAACCCGCCCGGCTGCCGGAGACAGTGCCGTGAAAGGAAAGAACTACGTCTGCAAAACTGATTTGACGACGTAAAAATGTATTAAGTGAAATTATTGGACTGTGCTGCTTTGGGCTACCTCTGTTGAATGTTTTTGCAAAAGTAAATATACTTTCTAACGTTGAAAATATATTTACTAATAATTCAGTAAGGTCACACCCAGTATTCCGATTTTAGGTGTGAATTTTCACTTTGTATATTTTCTTAAAATAAATCAAATGTACTTAGTATAATCTGCTTTGGTATCTGTGATGACAATTAAGTTGATGATTTAAAACATTATAATGCTTATCGCTCCTGTTAGTTACGTGACTAACTCACTCTACATTATGAAATACTTTTTCGATCAAAACTCAACTTTAACCACCCATTTTCCCCCTCCTCTCTTAACTTTTAATCCAGCAAACCAGACCTCTGTTTACACTTATCTGTATTGTTTGATCAACCACACATTCCTTCAAACCCATCTAGTGCTTTCAAACTTGAGCAGTGACCGTGTAGAACACGCGCAAATTTCTGAACCATCTCAAACACCAGCTTCCTAAGGCGACCTCTGGGTGTGGTCTCTAAGGAAACTCACGTGTCATCCCAAAACGCTGGGTTAGAAGAGAAACGGTTTTACATTCAAATTTCTCGTCTAGACTAAAAACTCTGCACGTTCTAATTCATATATACATTTATACACTGACAGATTCTGTCTATTTATTCTATAATTTCACCAGTAAGTGGACAATGGTAAAAAGTTTTAAGGTCTCGTTATCTTTGTCACTCTTGAGTAAGAAGAATAAGCGGACAGGTTTCACGTTTTACTCAGAAGTTCGAAATTCGAAGTCTGACAGCAAGCCTGCCTGAAGACCTTATTAGGTAACTGGTGAACTGGCCACGCGGCTCATACGACATCTTTACTGCTGGGTGCCCCGGAGCGGTGTACGCAAAGAGAGGTGAACAGACCAGAGGCGTGGGGTGCTATGGTCAGAAAAGGAGGCTCAGCACCCACTGCATCATCTCCTACCTGGGGAAGCCAGGAGCTTCTGGGACGTTAGGGTCGAAAATGCAGATTTTGAGAACATCTCTCTAACTCGGAAAGTGAACCCTAGTCTTGGACCCAAAATAGCTTTACAAAGTCATCTGATGTGGGAATGATCCGCTGGCAGCTCCATGGTCAACCGCTAGGTTCAGTCTAATTTAAACCAAATCCCACCTTTGGGCCGAACTAGGAGCAGTGGTTACTCAGGTTGTCTGCTCTATTTGGCGTTTGTCACAATGTGTGCATCTCTCCTCCTCATAAGGATTCAAGTAAGGATGAAACGAAACTCAAGAAGAGGGAAGAATTTTCTTCTTCTAAGTAGACAGGAGGACACATGCACTGTTTTCCCTGAGTTTGGAGAACGTTTTGGGGCCCGCCCCAAATCAGGCTGCTAGTTTTTGTTTTTCTTCTGTAAGAAACTTTCAATCTTAAAAATGCATCCTCTGACTTTTGGGAAAATAGTCTAAAAGTCTCCTGAATCAAAAGGAATATTTGGACTATGATATATGTAAGAGTGAAAATATTAAATTCAAAGAAGAATGAATAAATCAAAGCACATAAAAGAAATGCAACAAAACCTAAAATTCTTCTTGAAAGGGTCGGGTCAGTTCCCCAACCCGCCAGACTAAGACCCAGTCAGGCCAGTTTTCCACCCGCTGGACGGCCCATGACTCGGTTGTCCCGACTTGCTCTGCAGCCCCGGGCTCCATCGAAACTCTCTCCCACCTCCCACAACAGACACCTGGCGCCAGCCACCGTGGCCTCATGGTCAGACTGACTCTCCTGTACCTGGGAACAGCCCGGCCCTTTACCTAAGGCACTGTCCCAGGTCACATCCTGGAACCCTGAGGCACCCGCTTGGAAGTACAAGAGACTAACCCCTCCCCTTAACCCTCCTAAAGCCTGCACTTTTTCTTTTAAAAACCCCACTCTTGCCTCCCTTCATGGATCAAATAAAGGCACTTGGATCAGATCATTCAGTTCCTCCTGCCTCTATTTCTAGTGCATTTCTAACATTTCTAAGTCATTGTTTTAGACTTAGAATACCTCCATAATCAATCAGAATTTTCCAATACTGAAGTAAAATGACAATTTAGCAACTTCACAAAATAAACAGAAAGACAAAGACAATAGGTAATACTGAAAAAAGAACAAGAAAAAAACCTGAAGATTATGATTCAAGTCATACAGTTCTTATCGAACAGAAAATACGTGATTTAGTCCTCAAGATTTATACAACATTTTCATTTCCAGAGGTTAAATACTCATGGAGAAATGTCAATACATCACTTAAAACTTGCTACTGCAAACAAAATGTTAAAAAACAGTGTGTACCCTGTGCTTAGAAGCAGGTAGGTCGACATCCAGGAGACAAGTATGCTGAACAACCGCTCCAAGAGGCCCCTGGAGCTCAGCAGGGGCAGGACAAAGGAGGAGGCTGCGAGGGAAGAGACAGACAGACGGGGGAGGTCAGTCCCAGGCACCCGGCATTTGCGAGTTTAGAAGCCCTGAACTATCTACAATACCACATGCCCCTGACTGTTGAACAGAAGGCTATATTTGCCCTCATTATTTCTGTAAGAAACTTCCAACGTCCTATTTTTAATTAAAATTACATTTCATTGTTTTAACCAGATTTGGGCTCAGATTTGCTCAATTTATATTCAGCCTCACTCACTGTAATATTAACACCTAAATGAGCAACTTATGTTTTAATGTAAATAATAAAAAGTGTTATTCAAGTTTCAGCAAGTCTTCTCTTACTTAGATGTTTAGTTCAAAACCCACTCACTTCTCAGAAATTGATTTCTTCCCTAGCCCCTGCCTCCTCCAAGTTTTCCCACAGCAAAACCTCCGCTGAGAGCCACAGTGTGCTCCTTAGCACGTCAGGAGACTGAGGGCTGTGATAGGAAGAACCGTAGCAAATGAGGCAATCGTTCCCTGCAGGGTAAGAAAGCAGGCACTGGAGTGAGAGAAGAACAGGTGAGAGGAGAGGGGAATGGAAATGCACACGGCTGCTAATCCACTAGTTAGGATGGCCACGTGCCTCGTGTTCAGTTCTCCTGCAAAGGGAGACAGGTGACCGGGATGGAATCCTGCAGGGACCACTTATTAAATACTTAACTTTGGGGCAAGTTTATTAACAGGTGAGCAGTATTTCCATCTGTGGAATCGAGAGAACATAAAAAGGTGGAGAGGTTTGAATGCAACCTCACCTACGCAATGCTCTCTGAGCACAATGCCTCGGGCACAGCGGGTTAGCTGCTGTTACTGTTAGTAGTCAACATCTACTAAATTAAATGTGAAGACAATCTCATTCCAAGTCAAGTCACTGCAAAATTTAAGACCATAGCAAGTTATATGTATAATACCCTTGCACAAATAGCTTCTATTTTTTTCAGATATGTGGTTCTAATGATACATATTTTAACACAAAGAAATAACATAACAATTCTTACTTAAAAACCCAGTTCAAACGAGACCTCTCCTGTAAAGCTGTATGTTCTATCCTTATTTTATACTTTTATCTAAAGGACTGATGAGGCACTAGCAGAGAAATAAGAGTCTCCATTCTGAATGACGAAAGTCAGGACCAGCTTCATAGCACAGAACCGATTTGTGGGTCAGAGCATGTCGGTGAAAATGCTCATCGGAACTTGCTATGACAAAACAGTGCCTGCAGGAGACCTCCAGAAACACAGCTGGCCCACCTACGAGTCAACAATTTCAGGCCTTGTACCATGTGTTAGGCGGCCTCTTGCACTAGATCTCCTCATTCCGAGGAGGAGATACCGTGTTTAAAATACTGTATGTCCAGCCTATAGGAGGAGACTCACTTCAGATTTGAAGACATACATAGGCTCAAAGTAAAGGATGGAAAGAAATGGTCCTTGCGAATGAAAACCAAGGAAAGCAAAAGGCAGCAGGAGTTTTATCAGATAAAATGGATTCTAAGCCACGAACGGTAAAAAGGCACAAAAAAGGGCATTATACAATGATAAAGGGGTCAACCAGTAAGATACAACAATCATACATACACATGCACCAAAATATATTAAGTAAATGCTAACAGACCTGAAGGGAAAAACAAACAATACAAGAGTAGGAGGAGGAGACTTGAATACACCACTTTCAGCAACGGACAGATTATCCAGAGAGAAACCCCCCCAGGAAACATTCGACTTAACCACATGTCCATAGATCAAATGGCCCCGACAGCCATTGGAGAACCCTCCGCCTGACAGCCGCAGAACACACTCTGCTCAGATGTGCCTGGGGCAGTCTCCAGGACAGAGCGTACGACAGGCCACAAAACAAGTCCTAGCAAATTTAAGGCGACTGCTAAAACCGCACCAAGTGCCTTCACTGACGACAATGGTACAAACCGGAAATCACAACATGAGGAAAGAGGGAAAATCTACAAATATGTAGACATTAAATAACACACTCCAGAAGAGTCCCTGGGTCATTGAGAAAATCAGGAGAAATGTTTTAAATTCTCGAAATGAAAGTAGAAACCCAACATGCCCAAACCTACGGGACGCTGTGGAAGCAGCTCTGAACGGAAGTTCACCATGGTAAACGCATGCACTAAGATAACGGAAAGGTCTTAAACAAACAACCTGATTCTGTGTATGTCTCGTATTACAGCAATATGCAGGGTCCCTAGGAGACAACTGAACAATTACATGCCACCACACTGGATAACCTAGGATAAAAGGGTACACTCCTGGAAACACACAACCTACCAAGACTGAATCAGTAAGAAATTCAAAAATCTGAACACACTAATAACAGGGAGACTGAATCGGTAATCACAAACCTCCCAACACAGAACAGCCCAGGACCAGACGGCTCCATTGGTGAACTCTACCAAACATGTGAAAAATAATTAACGCCACCCTGGCTGGTATGGCGAAGTGGATTGAGCAACATCCTGCAAACCAAAAAGTCGCAGGCTCGATTTCTGGTCAGGGCACATGGCCTGGTTTGCAGGCCAGATCCCCAGCTGTGGGCGTGTGAGAGGCAACAGATCAATGTTTCTCTCCCACAATGATGTTTCCCTTCCTCTGTTTCTCCCTCCTTCCCCCTCTCTCTAAAAATTAAATAAAGAATCTTTAAAAGAAATAAAAAATAATTAATGTCAATCCTTTCAAACTCTTCCAAAAAAAAAACTGAATAGCAGAGAACAATTCCAAAATGATTCTCAGAGGCTTGCATCACCCTGACCCCAAAGCCAGAGGCCACTATGAGAAAGAAACTGTCGAACAACATCCCCTTCAACAAAACAATGAAGACAGATGCACTCTCTCCACAAAATAACAGCAGGCCAAATTTAACAGCACATGCAAAGACTCATACACCACAGTACGGTGGATATAAAGGCTTACAAGGTATACATCTTCTTAATGCCAGAAGATGAAAAAGAGCTTAAAAAATTGGGGGGCCTATTTACAAGCCAGCCTCAAGGGGCTTTCTTTGACCAAGTCTGGGACAATTAGAACACCAAAGTATCAACAGTGATGAACTATAAATCTTTGAAAAAATAGGAGCTCATGAGTCCACCATCATAAATAGATGAATGAGTGAATGAATGAATGAGTGAAGGACTCTTAAAGCAGAATGCCAGGTCTTTCCATAAACGCGGTGGGAATGTTACATCTAGAACATCATTTCATAGCCATCATGACAGAGATGGGATCAGGAAACCTTCACAAATGAATGCCAAGTCGAGGGAGACATTTTAATGAGAAAGGTATTTGATGGTCTTAAGAACGTCTCTGTAGAGATGGCTTAGTATTTGCATGGGAGGAGGGAAAACAAATGTAATTTTCTATTCTGGAAACACTTAGATTTTCATCAGATGTTAATAAATGTTCAGACTTATCAGGTCATTAATATTTTAACAAGTAATTCTTATAAATACATGAATATTCATAAAAGTTCTAATTTCCTTGGTCAAGTGCCAGGAAGACATAGAAATTATAGCTGGTTATTATTATTTTCCTGAAACAAAACTATGTCTTTCAATAATAATAATAATAGTAATAATAATAATAATAAAAGATGCAAATGGGTCACGTTACACCAGGACTTGACGTCCAGCTACCCCACTCGGTCTGACGGCCCGCTCACCTAGTATCACCCAGCTGGCGATCTGGTTGGCGAGAGGAAGTCCTTGCTTCTGCAGCAGACTGGTGTGGGTGCTGTATACAACGTACATGGCGAGCGCTGCGCCCAGCATCTGGAGACAAACGCAAACCACGCAAATAAGAGAGGAGGTGGCGAGAGACTGACCTACATAAGAACGCTTCACAAAGTGCTCGAACGGCTGCAATCTGGTAAATCTGCTACTAAAATGGGACCAGCTCACCTTCTTGTGGCCAAGGCTGGGAGTTAAGACTCTCACACTAGGCAAAAGTCATCCTTTACAAGTACAAAATGGGGCATTTTACACTTTCAAGGGTGTTTCCACATATGTTATCATATGGTTTCTACCTGGAAATATTCATCATTAACCTCAACATTTTCCTAAGTCACAGAAACGCAGGAGGTGGGGTGTACACCGTTCAGTGGATTGGTCTATGTCTTCCACCTCTGGCCCTCACCACCGTCATATCCATTTACTCATTCAACACAGACCTGCGGCCTGAGTGTTCACATGGTGCTGGGAACACGGGGAGGACAATATTCTTCAGGGACTGTATGCAAACTAGTTGGCAAACTACCGCTTAAGGGCCTGGGGCCTGTTTTTCGCAATACCATCTAATTGGATCATGGGCACTCCTGTTCATCTTCATGTTGTCTACAGCTCCCTCTGCATTGTAAGGGTAGAGATGCAAATTTACAACAGACTCTACATGGCCCTAAAGCCTAAAATATTCAGTCTGACTCTGGAGAGAAATGTTTGCTGACCCCTGGACTAGTGGACTAATTGCCATTTTAAGAAATGAGCTAAGTTATGGCTGTGGACAAAGTAAAGTTCTTAGAGATCACATTAGCAACCTCGCCACCAAATCCTGGAGCTATATTTAATTTACTCTCACATTTTTTGTGAATTCAGAAAGAAAAAATGCTATCAATAAAGCTACGACACAATCCTAAATGCTCTCGATTGTAAGACACATTTTTGTTTCAGATATGATAAAATGTACAAAGAGACGACCTTGGAATCGATGGAAAGTATAACACACGCCACAGAAAGGGGCAGAAGTTAAGGAAGTCGATGTAAAGGGAATGCCGCAGCAGACCCGCCTCACACCAAGGGCGTGTCTAACAACCCCCAGGAGCACGTTCACGTGACATTCCCGGCTGCCGCGGAGCGGGCTCCCGACGCGCTCACCGCCCCGTGCGTGGTCACAGACAGGCTCTGGCACAGCGGCCACGGGTCTCCCTGCGCAGCCTGCCACCTGCCCTCTCACATGAAAGACACAGTCCGATGGCTTCACAGGACGCTTGACAAAATATTTCTTCTCCTTTTTTTGTCCCAAGTGGTTTATTAAACTGAAAACTCTCTTCTTAGCTAGCGGGCACCGGGCAGCTTACCCACGACGGCATCTCAAGAACAGCGTAACCCAACACAACCACAACAGACGTTTGGGCGCGTCACCAGTGTAAGGCAGGGCTGACAACCTGCAACTCACCTGTGACAGATGTAACAACAGCTTTTCGTTTGCAAAGCCGTCTTTTCCTTTTACGAGAGATGTTCCAACAAACAGGGACAGCAGCAGCAGCAGCAGGCCGGCACCCATTCTGTTTGCAAACACAATTCACAATTTCAGATTTTCCTCCGAGGTTTACTCAACACACAGCAGATGAACACATTCTACTCTGATGGAGAAGCTCTCGGTCGCTTGGTTGGATCAACACGAGGGAGTAAAGTGGATACACAGGTTATCACAGGAATAAAAATCTTAGGATAAAGATACTGTGGGGATCGTGTTATTTGTAACTTCTTACACCTTTTAGATAGTTTTACTGTGTTTCTAGAATTTGACTTTTAAAACTTTTGTGCATACCAACTACCATAGTTGTTATCCTGAATTGGACAAATTTATAGAAAACAATGTAAAAGATAGCTAAACAGTATTTAAAACATACGTATTTTAACTATGAGCCCTTATACATAAAGGATCTGCATTTTTAATTCATGGTATTCCCAGCAGGACAGACTGCTGCTTTCTATCATTAACCCTGTCACTGTCCTCGGCTGTTCCCAGCTAAGGTCACGAAGGCAGTACGAAGGGGAGGCATTGGGACAGTAATAAAACGACAGATCATGCATTTTCAGGAACACCAGGTACAGCACGGTTCCCGAAGTTGAAGGAAATAAATATCCAGGAAATGGGGCACTTATGTTGAGCTCTTTTCTCACCTTCTAAAAACCTGAGTGACACAGGACAACCAAAATTATGTTGAGGACAGGAGCTGGAGCCTAGCAGTGTAGCATAACTGAGAGAAAATGAGCAAAAAGGCCATGCTCAGGAAAGTACGTCTTTGTTTGTGGTTCTGCTTTTATTTTCTAACACTCTCTTTGAGAATCATAAGGGGAAAAAAGGAGTAATTCAGTCAACATGAATTACATTAAAACTTGGGGGAAACAGCCATGTATAATAAAGATTATTTATTTGCTTTTGCTTTTCCTTTCCTTAAAAAAATAATTTGATACTTTAATGCATTGGCAAATATGTTTTTACTGTAGACAACTGGAGTAATAGGGATATTACAGCTATGTTGCATACATTTTTGCTTTTTCCTTTCATTTTAACCTATAATATTTGCATACCTATCCTAGCATCATACTTTTCTAAAGAAGTGAGTTGATGTGAGAAATCAGGTGGAGAGTAGAAATCTCTCCAGGAACCAGGAGTGGACACACAGAGGTTGCAAATACAGCTATGAGGAAACCAACACAACCTCAATCAGAGGAATGTAAATGCAAAAGGACAGAGGGAAACACCACGATCTTCAAAAATCCGAAGTCGGGTTCTCGTGCTTTCACTCCCTGGTCTCATCTGCGCTAGAATGTGCAGCTGGTAAATTTCAACAGAGACCATTTGCACAGTATCTTCTCCTTCTAGCACATGGTAAATTCTGCTCACCTCTGTCAGGATGTTTTGAGCAAGACAGGTAGGCGGAGGCTGGTGAGAGGAGGGAACGGGCTTCAGAGACAACAGAAGAGCTCCCAGAGCAACGGGAAGCAAGAAGTAAGTGAAAATATTTTAACTCATCTTCTCACTATGGTTTATGATGGCTGCAAAATATTTTTAGTTTGTAACACTAATAAGTCTTAGATGGTATGGTCTTAGAATGCAATACAATTATTTTGGACTTGGCTAATCAACTGACTTCCTAGAATAATTCCTGATCTATTCCATATTGGTATTCTCACAGAACTGAGATTACTGTGTTATTTCATACACACTTTAAAATGAACACGGTACTTAAAAATGTCATGTAATTAATCTTCCTTCAGTTAAAAAAAAGACATTACCTAATCTATTCAAGATTATGTTAAAATGCTAAAAACATTGCTTGCACAGAGTTCTAAAGAAAGTAACAAAGATGACTATATATTTAGAGAATGAGAGGAAATGTTACTTGTAATAATGATCTTTCAGCTTGCCAAAACACATGCACACACGCAGCCGGCAGCTTACTTGATAATAATTTAAAAAGGAAAATTTAAAGAAAAGGTAACCAATTACTTTACAGATTTTTTGGATCTGTTGAGAAGAAATAAATACAACGGCCTCCTGGGAGCACTCAGGGAAGGCGCACAGGGTCTGCTAACAGGTACGTGTTAGATGAGGGGCAGCTGTGAAGGAACCCGACCTTCCTCCCTTGGAGATCCTTACCCTCGGGTCTCTAGGACTTAAGGTGTGGGCCTGCCAAGGCAAAGACAGGGGCTGCACCTGAGGCTTTTCAACCTTTTTGTTATGGCAACACAACATCTTTCTACATGAAAGCTTTCCTGGATTCCCCAGTATACCAAGGATAGGGACGGTTCTGCACTTTGGGGGGTGAGCTGGGGTGAGGCTGGAGGTGGTAGTTTAAGTCATCACTGGAACAGTGTCCTTCCAGTGAAAGCCCAGAAGCAGCTCCAGAAACTTTAGTGCCTCTCAGAGCCTGGGGCAGAATTATGACTGATGGTTGGATATTAATTAATAGTTTAACTTCCAGTTTGTTCATGGTCCAGATTAGGTTCCTATTTCATAGTGTTGATTGAGAAGAACAATTGTATTGAGAAGAAGTTAAAATACTGTTCGTACACGAGAAAGACTTCCGGCTTCCACCCTACAACAGGCATCAGCGGGAACACTGCCAGGAGCAGACAGAAGAAAACCCAACTCAGCGAGATGCTCTGAAAATGAAAAAAAAGGTATCGTCAGACAAGTATGGTAGAGAAAACTGTCTTCAGTGTTTCACGGACTACGCGACTGTGAACCAAAAGGGAAAACGCAAAGGCTCGGATCGGCTTACTTTAAAAAGTAACAGAGTTACAATCTGTGAGGGATCAGTGAAGTCCCAGGGAGATTATTAGGTATGAGTATTATTTAACTCTCACACACCAGGGAGATGGGTTACATTATTCACAGTCTCGGATGAGGAAAGTGAGCTCAGAGATGTTCCCGTATAGGAAGTACCAGCCTCCGACCAGTAAACGAAACAGCCCGCATTCTAACCTGCGCCTGAGACTTCACAGCGCGTGCTTTTTTAATTCACGCTGTGCCGTATACTGATTATATCTATAAACAATTTGGCCTACAATCATAAACAAATGGCTGAGCTCAGGAGAAAAATTAGCAAAAATGCTTTTGCAATTAAACAAAAAATATCAATAGTCCCATTGAGGAATTTTACAAGTTTTCAGGGTGAAAGAAAATGTTTCTCTCTTCTTGCTACCTCCATCGAAAAGTATCAAAATGGAAATGCAAGTGTATTCCTTGTAAAAGCACAATGTAATTCACTATCTAGTTGAAAGAAAAAAATCAGGAGTAATTATATTTAAAATTTATCATGACTACACTCTTCTCCAGAAAAAACACAGGTGGCTCCGGACCAGGAGTGAGGTGGTGCGTCCGCTCAGAGCTCCGGGCGCAGCCCTTTGGCCACTGCGCTGCTCTGGGCCTTCCCCTGCCACTCCGGGCTCCACACTCCACACTCCACGCTCCACCACTCAGATACTCAAGGCCAAAGTGGTCTGGCAGGAGCTTCAGAGAGGACGCAGCAGCTCTGCTTCCTGAATGTTTCAGTCACCAAACGACAGGTTCATTCTGAGATGAAAGTCCACATGAACCACTGAAACCTCAGAGCGGCCTCAGCCCTCCTGTCCACGGGACCAGACATTCCACCCTTTTCCTTGAAAATGAGTACTTCCCTGATCTAAAGACAAACCAAAACAAAGTTGCAACTAAAGTGTCCAAGGCCAGAACGCGTACTCATACCTTTGCTCGAGTCCACAGCGGGGTGACAAACGGCCAGCCCGCAAATACAAGAAGTCCAACGGTCAGCATGTATCGGTAGAAGAAACTGAGGACCTAGCATCGAATTCCAAAGGAGAAATAAAAGGTGAGGTCATTTCGGAGGAGACACGCATCTGTGGAAGACGTACGAATACGCCGTGATGTGGGAAATTACTTACTAATACTTCGATTCCCAGGGTACAGGCTAACAGGTATCCAACGAAGTGACTTGGGGGCAAGGTCAACAGTGACGTGACAAAGTCTTGAATAACTTGGTATCTGTTTAGCAAGATTATTTATAAAAAGATTATTGATACTCTACATTGAATTTAAAAAGTAGGCCACGTACAGTAAAAAATAAAAACTTTGTGAGAAACTATAAAATCTCAAATTTTCAATCCATAGGTTATTTTAAAATGAAGGGACTCTCTAATAGATTTGGTTTAATGGCTTTACTGACTTAAATCTTTTTATGAAACATACAAGTATTTTAAGAAAAAATGTAATTTCTGATAATAATCACAAAAATTGTTTTATAAATTAATGACAATAAATGAGTCTTGTTTTAGCTTAGTTTAACTATACCTATGTTTATGTAATTACAGATAAAATATCAGAAATAAAATATAATGAGACAAAATGAATAAAAACAGAAACAATTTTTAGTTCACTGAGGTTAATCTTTTACTGAAATCTCAACTGTCTTAATGAAATAAAGGTAGGTTTTCCTTATCTGGGTAGACTAAATCCTCCCTCTTTTTTTGAAAAAGAGGAGAAACATCAATCAGTTGCCTCCTGCACACCCCCAACCAGGGACCCAGACGCAATCCAGGCATGTGCGGTGACCAGGAATCGAACCAGCAACCTTTTGGCTCACAGACCAGTGCTCAATCTACTGAACTACACCAGCCAAGGCTGGGGAATATAAATCTTAATTGCACTTTTTTACTGAGCTAAATAACCTTTTCCAAACCTAATTTAAGATGTCACTAATTATACAGTAATTATAATTAAATATAAATTCATAACAATTTAAAATGTATTACATACTTGAGTACATTTTATATTTCAGTACTGGAAAAAATTTTTAGCATTTGTAGTGCATTATTAAGTAGGTAATTATAAAATGTCAGTATCACTGGATTTATGACCTTTTTCCTGTTTTGAAACAATGGCTATATAATATCAAAACTGTTAACGTGCCAAGTAGGAGACAAAGCTAACACCAGGCAAAAGAAGAACGTTTCTTTTGTTCACAGTAGTGAACAAGCACTGGGAACCAAGAGATGATTTTGTAAAATCAGCTAGAAGATTGTTTTTAGTATCATTTACTCCATTTAAAAGTTTTTAGAATAAAAGGTTTTATTCTTGCAAGAACCACTCAGGGTTCTGAAGTAGAACAGAATTTCCTGAGGATAAAACCTTTCATTCTGACAATTTTAAAACACAGTAAATGATACTAAAAAAAAAAAAAATGATTTAAATATGTATGTCCAGCAGCCCCATTCTGTTCAGGTGGAGAACGGCATGTTCTTTTGCCAGGGCCACCTTGCCTTATCTTGTAAAATGTTGATACTTTGAATTCCTTAACTTTTGTTTTGGGTATTTCTGGTATTTTAATATGTTGAACACTAACTCTCTGTGAAGGATGGAGCTAACAGAAGTGAGAGCGAGAACACACACTGCCTGTGTCAGGACACACGTGCAGACCACCCCGAAACACCCTTGGCTCTGGGCTCTCATGCCCGGTCGGTGTGCGGGGCTGGCTCGCTCCCAGGATGGCCAGGTGCCCAAGACCAAGTGTAAATCCCAGATTACTGTGCAAATGCAGAAATCAGCAAGAAATCAGCAAGATCTACAGCTGGACTCTGGCTGCTGGCAAAAGTGAACCAGCTGACTGCAGGGGTATGAACCCCCTGAAGCACAGCCCGTGAGGAGGCACTTACAGGTGGGGACCACGGCACATGTGAATAACATGCACTGATCATGTGTGCACACATAGATCTGATTTAATACAAACTTTCCTTTATCTAGGTTTACATGATAGCTAGGAAAGGAGGGGTAAAACACATGGGGAAAAGAGCAAATTTCTTTGTGAAACAGGAACGGACACTAGAAACTGACATAAGTTCAAAATTTGAGATACTCCTGGCACAAAACAACGGACGTTAATTAATTTATTTTTACTCCAGATTTTTCTGGTGAAAGAGACAGAGAGAAGGAAACAAGGTAAGTGCTTCCTTAAGGAAATAAAGACGAAGTCGAAAAAGAAAGGTAAAATAAAAAGGATACTTATACGCAATGTTTATGCTGCTACAAATGAAGTGAAAGGGTTTGGAAGTTTGAGGGTGTTATAAGTATTACTGATGGCTCAGCTGCAGAAAGCTAGCGCATTTTAAACACAGATTTACCTGACAGTAAAGTGAAAAACAAGACAGCAAGACGTGCTACTCACTCTCTCACAACCGCATACCATATCGGCACCGGCAGCAGGCAATACACATAGTAAGTCCACGGGCAGGCTTGAACCAGCAGGAAAAACACCATTAAAATGCCAACAGCCGCAAAACCACATGGCAGGAGACAGCCTGGTTTCTGGAAATCAAACAAAACATTGAAACACTTCCAAACTCATGCTAATTGATAGGTTTTTAAGAGATTTTATAAAGCGAAGAAAATGTATTTCTTTCAATGGTTCTACAACTAGAGGATTAATCTAACAAATGCATTAAAAAAAAATCTGCCACTGGAGAAGCACAGCACAGAAGAGGAAGCTGGAGCGCATGGGTTTGCTGTAAGGCAAGTCTCGATCTGAAAGCAACTGTGTTCCTAATGTTTGTTTGCAAGTAAGTTGCTCAGAACTCAGAACACATTTCTCCTGAGCAATAACTTAGTAAATGTTGGCTGAGTTCCGTGACTAACTCACAAAAGCCCATTTAACCCACGATAAGCTGTGGAAACTAATCATTTGCAACGATGCTCCTGTGTATTCAAACCCCAACCTGACATGCTGCCCACACTTCTCTCCCCTGGCCCATCCAGAGTGGTTCATTCGGTCACTTCTCTCTCCTCAACACCTGCCGGACCAGGGGTTCCTCAGTGTAGGTCACCAGTGATGGCCCATGGGTGCTACCAGCGGCTCACTGTGTAACTGTGAGTGTGAGCAAAGTACAAAAGTCTTCTGAGAATTCATTTCACCCCACCTATAAAATGGGAACTACTCCACATGTATTTGTCAAGGCAGGTAGAGCTTAAATAAGATTATGTAAAGCGCTTAACCAAATACCTGGAATATTACTACTGCTTACTAAATAATGGGTGCTATTGTTCCCTTACTTTTCATTCTTTCCTCCTCTATTTCTTCAAGGCCGTGCCCACTGTCATTAGAGAAACCTATCGGTAAATAGCAGCAGAAGTGGAGATGGGGGAGATGGCACTGGGGGTCCCACAGCAAAGGGGGTGGGAAAAGAAGGGGCAACTCGCAGACAGGGTTGCAAAGCTGGCGCTGGCTGAGGTAGGTGCTCCTTAAGAAAGAGCCAGGACCTGGTTCACACCATTTCGAAACAGTGAAATAACGAGAGAAGTTTAAAGGAGTACCTAAAAAACCACTTACGGGACTTTTCCAGAATCAGTACAATGTGATATAATTATCTTAGCCTTTGCTACATAATATATAATAACAGACATTACAAACGACAGCCTCATCTAGGAAACTAGATCACCGGAAATTGGTTCAGCTGGAGGAAAAAGTGAAAGGATTTTAAATAACAAGAGTAGGGACGTTTTCCACCTCGTCATGAACTGACAAAGTGTGCTGTGTACATTGTGGTTACTCCTTCAACCAACAAACACTCCTTCAGTCCCACACTGTCAGCCTTCACGGGGTTAAACCCCACAGGCAGGGCCTGAATCGTGGGACTTGGCATAAAATCCTTAATATTTTAGGATTTTACTTGGTGATAAGAAAACAAGGGAAAGGCATGTAGCAAATAAGGATGGTTGGTTCTAAAGCGAAAGACACTGGAAACGGCAAAGACAAAGGACAGAGTACATAGCAATTAAGCGCAGAGTTCAGTCAAGGGGAGCGGTGGCAACTTCTGTTCAAAGAGAAAAGAATATTCATGGCAGACCTGCCTGTAATAGTGACAAATGTGGAACCACCTGCGTAACCCGGGGGACACTGTCATGCAGAAGTGACACACACTTTGGAGTCAGACCTACACTTAATTCCACTCTACTTGCCATTCTATTTGCTGGGCAACGTGACTAAACCATTTAGCTCATCTGAAGCCGGTTCACCAGCTGGCCCTGGAGGGTTCTCTCCGTGGCAAAGCTCCCCTCCACTCCCTGGCAGCCCGCTCAACTGCAGCCAGAGCAGAGCTCCTGCAGGAAGCCAGGCTACCCCACTCCCCACGGCCCGTGCTGCCCTCTCTGCACATCCTCTTCCTTTTCTCCACCAGGCTGTCCTGCTTGCCCACCCTCGGACAGAGATCTCTGCAAAGCCTCCAGACACCCGCCCGCAAGCATCCCTCTAGCGTGCATGGCTGCCACTGCCGTGGCCCCTAACTGCGCTCTCTGCGGCCCTCAGAAATTCGGCAGCCTGTGGCACTGCAGTCTTCCCTCGGGACTGCCCAGGGGCTGTCCCGGCTCTAGATCAAGTTGCTGAAGAGGAGCCAGGGAGTTTTTTGTAAATAGAAGCACGGGGTTCAAAGTACTTTAATGACCTCAACTGTCACAGTCAGTGCTATGCGCCCACTTGGTAGACCACGGTCTCCAGTTACTCAGTCCAGTCCAGGTGTTGCTGTGAAAGAATCTTGTAGACGTGATTAAAGTCTACAGTCGGCTGACTTTAAGCAGGGGAGATTATCCTAGACAATCCGGGGGAGCCTGACGGGGATCTGGGGAAGCCCCGTTGCAGGGGTTAAGAGCAGCAATGGAGGCTTCGCTGAAGAAGACACTGCACCTGTCCAGGCAGCTCTGGCCTCCAAGTGCCAGTCTGCCCTTTCCCGTGGACGGCCTTCTGGGCTCCTGCGTGCCCAGCTGGCCCTGCCGCCCACAGCCACCCAAGCCCCTTTCTCACCCTGCATCTATCTCTTCTGTACGGGCCCGCTGGCTGCTTCTCTGGTTCAAACTCAGCTGACGCACCAACTCTTCACTAAATAAAGTTCCATAGTCCAGCATTTGAAGCCTTTGGTGACTTCAGCCTCATCTGCATTGTCAGTATTAGCCCTTGAACAAAGTGAACTATTCTACCCAAAATGAACTATTTATTTTAAAGGCAGCATGGGATGGGAAGAGCATAGATGTAAAAAACATTAGCTCTGCCGTGAAACACTGGTGTGTATCCCTGAAGAAAACACATGTCCCTCTGAACCTGAACTCCCCCACAGTAATAAAATCCACATGTTGAGAACAGTGACCACTGAATTTCGGGCAGTGTTAAGCTCACCACGTGTCAAGCACCCAGGACAGCCCTGGAACAATGGGTCTCCATAAGTATTACTGATGTCCAGCTTAGCTTCTGTGTGTACCTTTAATTTACTCTTAAAAAAAAAATCCTCACCTGAGGACATGCTTATTGATTTGGTCTGGGGGGGCTGTTGTAAGGGAGAGAAATATTGATGAGAGAAATATCAATCAGTTGCCTCCCGCACGCTCCCTGACCAGGACCAAACCTGCAACCTAGGCATGTGCCCTGACTGGGAACTGCACCTGCCGGGGCCCCTTAATTTGCTTTAATTCTCATCCTTTCCCCACGGTCTGACTGTTAAATCCCACCTGGGACTTACACTCTCCTGTTACACTGGCTACAGTGAGCTCTCCCTGTTTAAACTATGACAGTGTTTGTGTCTCAAACACTGAACATGTACTATAGCTGTTAAAGGTTACAGTTGCCTTTCGTGATGCAGGGTAGCCACCTGCACCCGACAGGGTGGTTATGTGTGTGCACAGATCACCTGCTCTATCTAATGCTGAGCTCGTGAGGGCAGAGCTGAACTGTATGCTTCTTTGCACGGCCTGTGCAGCGTATCTGGCATTGCTCTGTACACGCAGTGAAACACTCGCTGCATCGTCAGATGAATGAACTATCAGCCGTGAACCCTGCTGACACGCCAGTCTAAGGACGTGTCGTCTCTCGGACCTGAACATCAAGGTTAACACGAAAAGAAAGTGCGTGCACGAGAGCGCTCCAGATCCAGACCTCGATTCCCCCCACCCAGCTGGGTGTCCTCTGGGAAGTCACTCACACAGCTGCAGTCTCCTCTTCTGTAAAGAGGAGTTATGATGCCGACTCCTAGCACCACGACAACTTTAAAGCGGCAAAACAAACTTCGCGGACCCAGCAGAACGCCTAGACATATTCATTACTAAAACCTGGCTGTTTCTGTACCCTTTCCTACCATATAAGAATTGATTCCTGCTCTAGCCAATGCCATATACATTCAGATACTAGATGCACCGAGGAAGTTATTTAAGGTGCACTGAAGCACGGTAAGAAACTGATGAACACTACTGCTCTTCCGTCCATCACAGAAGAACGTAATATAAAGTTGGGAAAAGTTACCACTGGAAACCCTGTAGCATTATTATTACTAATGCTCCATCTGGATATGTTACTTTGTAGAAGAGACACGGTAACAATCACCAGAGAATGAAAAGGAGAAGGAAGCAGCATATTCTTCCTGGTAAACAACTATTAGCAATACAGTTTAAAAAAGTAAAGTGTTTTCATGCAGTAAAATCATATACGCAGTGTTATATTTTCTCAGTTAATAGGAGGTATTATTAAAGAGGCCTTTTTGGTATTGAAATTATAGTGAACTGGAGATTAATTCTTAAAATGAAGATAAATAGAAAGTTCTAGCTGAAAATTCAAAAAGCTGAAAGGGAGGTAAAAATAGTTCCAGGAAAACATATAATTAAGAAGGGGGCTTTTTGAATAAGTGATTTCACTGCTTTCCAGTTCCTAAACTTTTAATATAACATCAAGTTAAATATATTGCTTTGAAGTAGCTTGCTGACCACCAGTATTAGAAAGATGGAATAATTATGACATACTAAGTAATTATAAAGGAGAAAATGAACAGTTAATGCCATAGGAGAATTTAAACAGCTATCTTTATAGCTGTGTTAAGTTAGAGAGCCCTTATTATCAATACACCCCTTTCCCAACTAAAGAAATAGACAACCGAGGGAAAAAAGCCGCAGTACGACAAAAGCAAACAACAGGTAAGAGTTAGCCGAGTACAACTTGCCCACTGTGCGAACTCATTACAGCCGAGCTGATCCGATTTCTGCCCTCAGCCCTGGTGATTTCACACCACCACCTGCATCGTCAGGTGCAGGTACTTTCCACACGTACCTTGACGGGTTTACACATGACACCTCTGGTGAGGCCGGAATGAGACTTGACGGTCAGCAGAGAAGCGTACGATGCCCATCCCACAAAACCAAGCAGCACGTTGATGCCCAAAAATAATCTGTCGTAAGTGTGATAATAAGACAATCCTTTCAATGCGAGATCAATCAGCTCCTTGCAAAGCAAGACCTAAGGAGAAAGAAAAATATAACTTGCCACGTGGAATGAATAAGAAACCTAAGAGTCAAAGGAAGAAAAGTTATTAAACTTGAGTAACTGTAAAGAATGGGTCAAAAATAGATTTTAATTGTTTGAGGATCTTTCTGCAAAGTATAAGAAAAATTTCTGGATAAAATGAATTTTTAAATCATGCTAAGAAATGGCATCTTGAATACAAACTATGAGATGCGTAGTGATTCAAAATGATTCTTTTTGTGGAAATTATCTTCAGACCATGTTAAAAAAAGAATAACGGCTCTCTAATATACGTCCCAAATAATGGAGATGCCCACGTGTATATAATTTTTGACTTTCTCATATTAGATTACCTGAATCAGTTATAAAACATCATTAAAATAGCTTAATATTTCAGAGGAGAAAAGCTGACCATTTTAAAACCATGACAAAAATAAGTATTAGACGTGTCTGGTATTACTTAGGCAATTTTAGAAACTGAAAATAGAATTCTTTCCTACTTTAAAATTATATGACCTCTTAACAAAGAGAAAGTAAATGAAAAGCACAGTGGGGTAGGAGGTGGGTAAAGGTGGAGCTTCTTCGAGAGTCAGCAGACTTCAGATGGTGTGCTGGTAATTCCAAACGCACAGACAGATCCCATTCTAAGAGACCGGGCATAAGCAGGGGAACAGAAACTTGGATTACACCTTTCATGGCAGAAAATAGCAACTGTTCATTTCCGATGCTAACCCCCAAAAAGGTCTACCCACAACACCGTCTGAAGTAAGACAAGCTTGCCCGTGGCCAAGGCAGCTACTTCGGGAAGTCGCCTGTTCCTTGAGGGTTGAGGAAACCTCTCTGGCTCTCCCCACACCCAAACGGTGATCAGCTATTTGTATACACAAGGCCTGTGTACTTACGGCTTCATCAAACTTTCTCTGTTTTATGTAAGATCTTGCTTTTCTTAAAATGTCAAACTGTTTAGAATCAGAAAGCAACCTACAAAAAAAATAATAAAGGTTAGGTTTGAAGTGTTTCCTTCATTTTAATTATATATTTTTCTTAACTGAAAGTTAAAGGATGGTGAAAATTGAGAAAATAAAAAACAAAGCAAAAAAAGAGAGTAATTAACCTGGAGCTACACTGTATTTATATGGCTGGTTATCTGAACTCTTCCACGAAACAGCTTCGAGTACAATGTGGTTTTCCTGACTCCAAGGTGGGACGGGCACACTGCACTCAGGACAGCGGGTCATATGTCACTGTGGAGAAGGGCAGTGCTCTGGCGGACAGAGGGCGTCCGACTAACCGAATAATCGCCGGCACAGCAAACAGTGATGGAGCCCCACCACGCAGCCCTCCGGGGCTCACAACAGAGGGACCACCGGGGCAGAGCCACGCCAGCACCCGGGACCTGAGCCAGACGGGCGCTGCCAGTGGAGTGATCAGGAGCCCCAGGCAGAGCTTAACAGGCGGAGCCTGGCCAACAAGCGCAGTCAGCGAATGGCGCGAACCCACTGGCCGTTCTTCCCCCAGGCTTACAGCTCTCTGGGTTCCCCCACCTTTCATTTCTCTTCCCCTCATTTCCCTGCCCTGGTTTTACCACAAGATAAATACTCCTACTACTGCATAAACTCAAAGAATCTATCGCTGAAGACGTTAAGTTTATGGAATGTAGAGACTAAGAAAATATCACTAGAACTCAGTTACCTGACTGAAATAAACAAATTTCAACACAAAATCCAACACATTTTTCTTAATTAAAACCTATTCTCCTAAACTGAATACCTTTACATTTAAAAAGTGCAAAAAAGTTATTTAAGGATATAGCAGGGTAGATCATGTAAAATTGGTATTTTTCTATGTCAAAAGCTAGCAAACTAAACCTTGGCGATTTCATATGGTGCAATATAACGGTAACACGCATCTTTCCACCTGGCCTGCGCAGTCTCTGAAGAGGTAAGATCGAGACTTGCACAAAGTCAACCTGCTGAGCAATACTATTAATTTGGGTGGGGTCACAGACTTCTTCCAGAAACTGAAGCTGTCCAGAAAACGCTCATAACCTGAAACCTTACGTAAAATTTCGGAAAATTCATGAACCCCAGAAGCTCACCCACAAACCCTCCTGAGGTCTCTAGCAGGCCCCGGTGACTGACGGCCGTGCCCACAGCTGGGCCCCCAGAGCCCTCAGCCTGGGTGCACACTACCCAGTTCTCCGTCAAGACACCATTCGTTGGGGAGTATTGTTCTCTAAGTCTTAGAAGTGGGATGACTAGGCCAGAGGGTACAGGCTTTCAGTGCTATATTGAAGTTAAACTTTCCAAATTCCGATAAAACCCTGCTAGTTTAATCTCCTTCCCCGTGTTCTGACCCACTCGGCCTCCTAACACGCCGACCACATCTTCTAACTCACATGAAATTGATACGGGCACCCAACCATCTGTCTCACCAGTCCTAAACTTCCTGGACTCTTGGTGACCACCCCCCTCTATTCCACTTAATTGCCCCTACCCCAAATGTATGCCCCCAGCTGTATAACTGTTAAACTCCTCCTCCGTCACCAATCTTATGGTGAATTCACACCTGAGTTCTCATTCGTAAAGATGCTCCCCTCGCTGCTTTCCAAAATCCAATCCTCATCACCCTTTAGAGTCCACTCCAAAACCCACCGCACTCCATCAGCACTTTGGTGTGGTCTAACAAGCGATTTATTGATCTTCCCTTGAATTTTAACCTCCTCACGGGCCATTGATTATTTCCATTAATATCCACAATAATACTTAGCAAAGTGCTAAGCACATAAAATGAACCAATGAATCTTAATTGATTAAAATGCTATCAAAATATTGTAGGCCTAAAAAAGGAAAAACAGAATAATTTACAGTGATGTTTCTCAAAGCACCTAATGATTTGCTAAATTAAATAAGAACATGAAAAGAAACCTGGTCCAGAACTAAAGTCCTTTTTAGGACTTAGAGGTTCTAAAAAGAATGAGGGAAAAATATTCTAAAAGAGAAATACTTGTTACATTAATTAATTATATGACAGTATATTATATATAGAATGTATTCTATGTGGAGTACTTAAGTAAGGACACCAGAGTCAGGCTAACGTATTTTTCCTAAATGGACTATTTATAAACTTCGGGACATACCAAAGGTTCAGAACATGTCTAGAATTCAGCACAAGGTTCTGTATAATCTGAACAAAGTTGACGAGAGATCTGGTGAATTAGAGGGGGACCCAGGTCAGTAAAAAATACCTCGTGTGAACATGAAGAGCATAAAGAACGGAAAATATGGAAAAGACCATTACAAACACAAGTCGTTGTGTGAACAGGATATATTCCAATACGCATTCTCCCAGGAGAGGAAATCCAGCAGTGCTATTTTATGATAATGGCAACACATTATTTGTAGAGCATTTCTACATAGTAACCTGACAGGGAAAAATTCCTTTATTGACTAAATCTTTTATATTGAAAACAGCAAATGTTAAAGGAACCTATTAGTAACACGCTACAGTCAGGCAAAAAGGAAATAAGAGAAACGAGCATGGATTGTACACACTTCTCTGCTGTGATTGCTATTAGTCCACCCATTTCCCAGCATTATTCGAACTTGGCAGAAAAGTAAGCTGTTTCTTAAGATTATCAAAAATTTCATCAATTATTTAGGGTGACAAAATCTCCTTAAAAATGCTGTCATTTAAAGTATCATATCTTCTTACTCAGATTATTATTACAAAAATAGTTTGCTTGCATTTATACATATTATTTTAGAGATACTTAGTGATATCTAGTCCATTTCTTGTTAGAGTATCTTACATTAAGAAAGTATTTCAAGAAGATAAGGACAGAGAAAGCAGGATAAAGAAATTACTCTAGAATAATCTGCATTCTTTAGACTGGCCAATAATGTACAATCATGTCAGAATTGAGTACATAAGTGATTTTCCATGTATGCATGTATGTGATGTGTGAAGTTAACCTGTTTAAGTTTCAAGGCAATTTTAGGTCAGAAAACTACACTTCCAGCAAATAACCAGTAAACCAGATAAGTGAAGTGGTGGGAAGACTGACATTAAAACCAGTACTTAAATGTGGTCTGAAGGAGGAACTTTTAATCATGATGGCCTACAAGAAGCAAATATATTAAAAGAAAACAAAGTATTTTTTGCCATTTTAGTAGCAAACAGATTTATATATTTTGTTAAAATTTAAATTCTCTGAATTACATAGTGAGTTTTAAATAAAAACATGTTTTAAATAAAAATATGTTTTTGTTTCTATTGGCAAGGTACAATAATCTCCTTCCTATTTTCTTTTCTCCTAAAACCTTAAGAGAACTTTCTTGTTCCTTTCCCATCTCATGAATTTTTTTTTCTTTTAAAGTTTTTCTTGTCTTCCTCTGACCTCTTTAGCACACACTTCAAAGTGTTTCTCCTCCTTTTTAAGATTCTTTCACATAGTAAACCTTTCATGCTTCTCCTAGTCATGTAGCTCCACCTGCCGGTCATTCCTTGATATTGCACCAGTGTCTAACAGGACCCAATTGTAGCTTTGAGTTTCTTTTTTTCTTCAATTCTACTTGTGAGAATAGCTACTTCATGACTTTTATTCTTTTTCACGGGTCTTTAAAATATCAAAAATAAAGTGTATTTACTTTTTAAAGACTAGGGTAAAATGGCGTAATATTACCATATGCATCCACTGGACCCTTTTATGAGTAAGAGACTTTAGCAATCTTATTTCCCCTTTTTCATGAAACATTTAACATTTTATCACCCTAGAAATTATTACATTATTCATCAATTATTAATTCTGGAAAATACTAAGACAATGGAGGAATGGTGGAGAGATGCCATTAAACAGATCTAGTAATGCCGGTGAAATTGACTGTGTAGGTAAAATCTCAAGATTATGAATTTCGAGGTGTCAATATCCTAGGTAAATTTTCTCAGACTTAAGAACTGGTGACTGAATAACGTATTTCTAAGAAGAAAAAGAAAATGTGGTGCTTATTCGAAAGGGAAGGGGGTCCTTGCACTGTTGTTTTTAACAAGAGCCTGATACACTGGAGTAGCAGACAAAAGGAAACAGCCCATCGTACTCAGAGGGTGAATGGTGAGAGCTGTGTCTTTCTGGCACACAGAGCACATGTAACAGGAAAAAGGATACCACACAAGAACAGAAATAATATCCAGGAATAAAACAATGAGAAATGGATATTGTGGGGAAAACTAAAATCTTATATAAGGAGGTAACAGAAGATACAAATAAATACATGTTGGATGGTAATGTTAACTATTGTGACAATGTCAATTCTCTCCAAATTACTTCCTAAATAGTGTACAATAATGAAAGAATCCTTCATATAACTCAAGATGATGATGATTCTAAAATTTACATAAAAAATAAATTTTTATTCATGTCCACGATTTCTTATGATTTTTGACTCATGCCAATGATGCAAATACTTACTTTTTGTTTCTTGTAAAATGTTTTTATCAAAGCAATATATACATATAATTTTTAAAAATCAAAAGTAATTCAGGAGGGCATAGTGACAACCAACAAATCCCTGGCCCACTCTTCTCATTTCTTAAGTCCCCGAGCCAGGCACAAATACTTTTCAAGGGTCTGTTCTTACTTATTCTGGTAGTTAGCTCCACGTGTCTTAATAACATGCTTCCATCACTATTGCTTGACTTGATGGCCCGAGGTGCCGTCTGCTGTCTCTTTCCCCTTCGATATGGTGATATCATTCTTTCCACCTCCCCTGTTGGCTACGCTGGTCACGAACCATCTGTCCTCCCCTCTCGGCCATCACCAGACTCTGCACATTCTATCTCGTGAGGACGGCCGCTTCTCTACCATTCCACGAGTGGTCCTTTCCCCTCTGCCTTCCAATCTGTAATCCTGAATATGTTGTCAAGGTTGGTCACATTTGTATTCTAGTCTGTAATTTTAAGGCATCCTTACTTTGTCTACGGTTTCACTGTAAAAACTGAAAACCAGTATTTACATTATTATTTAAATTCTGTTCACTGAGTAGCAAAGTTCTATGCTATAATTAAATTTCCTTGATCCGTGTGTCAATGTTCAAATGAATTCCCTTTCTCTCTCTCTTTTTAAAGATTTTATTTATTTTTAGAGAGAGGGGAAGGGAGGGAAAGAAACATCGATATACTAGAGTAACATGGATCAGTTGCCTGTCACATGCCCCTAACTGGGCCCAGCCTCAACCTAGGCAAGTGCCCTGACCCCTGACTGGGGGTCAAACCAGCGACCTTTCAGTTTGTGGGATGATGCCCAACCCACTGGACCACACCAGCCAGGGCAGAATTGCCTTTCTCATACTCAAAGCAACCATTCAAAATCATGTCACTTCTTTGGGGGCATCACCATTAAAGCCTGCCTGCGTGTATACTTTGAAAGGTTTCCATTTCCCTGAATTTCCCCATCATCCTTGTTTGGGAGGATGCAGAAAGGTGTGCCTTCTATGTGGTCACTGTGCGTCTCCCAGCTCCTTTCTCAATCCATGTACGTCGTGAGATTCACTTCATTTCACTCCAGGTCTCCTCACTGCCTTCTCTGTGGGACTTGCCTCCCATTTGGACCATTTGCACTATTCTTGTGTGGCTGAGCCTTCCCTAAGTTTCTGGTTGTGTTACTCTTTTTTAAAAGAATGCATCCTGTACTCTTTCTCATTTTGTGAAGTTTACATTGCTTTTTATTTTATGAATACAATAGTGTCTGAGATATTTCTGATGAGTTTGATATTTTAAGTTTATTTCTATTCCCTAAATTATCTATTTCCTCAGGAGTCAATTCTTTCCATGACCTTATCTTTTGTGGTTATGTTGCAGGCTTTCAATGGTGATTTTCAAGTGCAGACAGAGCTAGCAGCTTTGCCCCAGGGTGGGTGAGCCAGTGGGTGGGAGTCAACTATCCTGCTGAGCCCCAAGGTGACACAAAGCTTACAGTGGCTCTGCAGGGAGAGGCTGAGTGTCAAAGCAGAGCAAGCTCATGGTGCGTCAGGAGGTAAAAGAAGGTGGGCAGTGTGCCCTTGAACCCCTTACAGAGAGTGCTTCCCTGACCAGTCAGTCTTTCTATTGGGTTGGTCAAAAAGTTCATTTAGTTTTTTCTGTACAATTGCTCTAGTAATGCTTAGTTGTCTTTAATTGCATTCAAAACAATTTTGTTAGGTTGTATTGTCAGCTGTCATATCAGTGTGTGTTTATCAAAATTGGTGAATTTTTGTGCAGCCATTTTAATATTGGAGATGGAAGAAAATATGCAACATTTTCAGCATATTACACTTTATTGTTTCAAGAAAAGTAAAAACATAACTGAAACACAAAAAAAGATTTGTGTTTGAAGATTGTGTATGGAGATTGAACATGTTGAAAGTGGTTTGCAAAGTTTCTTGATACTATTGACATTTTGGCCAAATAATTCTTTGCTGTGGGCTGTCTTATGCATCGGTAATTAACTGCATATGATCATTACTTGCAAAATCTCCCTTTTGCTTTGACTCTGCTCCCCTGCACACACAGGTGTGCAGTCACAGTGTTCACAGGGAAATAAAAGCCTTTCTAGTTCATGAACACCACACTCATGTTACATAAGTTGTCAAATGTAATGCCAAGAATACATTCAATCGTGTCCCTAACATCTGGATTTCAAACAATTTCTATTTGTTTTGGTAAAGAGCACAATTCTTCCGAATTAAATGTGAATCCTTGCTAGCTGAAGATGCATTTCAAGGAGGCTGAATAAACCCACCCACATCAGTACTGCAGAGCCAGGGTTTCAATGCAAATCTCCCCATTCCAGAGCCAGAAATGCATCTTTCTGGGATGCAAGACAGCAAAGTCAGCTGCCCACCGAAGTCTGCTCCCCTCTCGCCAGAGTTGCAGAGTAGGTGTCGGAGTTTCCCAGAAATGTATCACTGGCCTTTTCTGGTCAATTCCTACCTTCTGCCTACCTAGAGCCTCCAATATGTGTGTATTCGTCTTCACCACCATCTTTATGCCGATGGCTCCAAAACCTTCATGATCAACTCTCATCTCTATCTTGAGATCCCTATTTCTAACCAACTCATTGATGTCTTCAGTTGTAAGTTAAAATTCATCCTCACCTCTCAAACCAACTCTTCTTTCTTTCTATAACCCATATGGTACCAGTACCTTCCCTGTCGGCCAAGCCAAGAGTCCTCACGCCTTCCCAGTTGAGCCCTGTTGAATTTATCTCCTTAAAGCTTCCCGTTATCTCTCTGCACCCTACACTTCCCCTACCAGTCACTCAAAGACAACTAGCTCACAACTGGCTCATTACTTAGGAAAAAAAGAGACGAGACTTTCATTTTGAAGTTTGCACTAATGCACATAGAAAACACAAAATTTCTAACAGCATTCAAACTAATTTGAATGAAAAATCATTTCCTGTAATCTAATAAATAAAAATCATTTCCTATAAGCGAATAAATAAAAAATACTTACTTAAATGGTGTAAACAAAAATGGTAAAGTAACTTCTTTTTTCTGAGACATTTTCACCTGGGAATCAAGTAGGAAAATATTTAATTGTATTAGAAATGAGAAAAAAATCAACCAATCTCATTTTGAAATACAAACACGCATTAAAATGGGTCTTCAGGGATGGTTAACTACTTGGAAAATATATGGAATTTTGTGTTACTACATTATTTCATAAATATTTAAAGGAAAATTTAACACGATCATTCTATTGCAATAAACTGAGAATTAAGGATATCAAATCTGCAAAAGAACATTCTGTAATGTAATTAAACTTTAACTCTTAGAAAACAAAAGCAGCCGAGCTGCATTAACCGCATTAAGAATAACAGAGTTTCAGTTCAGCGGTCACCTTTGTAACTCCCTCATGCGCACGCCAGCGTGCGTGCGTGCATGGGACAAGAGATGCCGCATCGCCCATGCGGTTGCTACAGGGGCAAAGGCCACTTGAGAAAGACGCGGTGTGTGGTCTGGAAGCACCCGTGAGAGACCGCTCTTGAAGCAGGGAGACCCCTCAAAGGTAGTGCTGCACCCTCACACTGACTCACGGGACTTCAGAAATGTGAGAAACTAGGATGCACGTCAAATACGCAAGCTTTAAAGACACGGATTTATAGAAAATAACTTCTCATAACAAAGCCCAGTGGCTTCACTGAGCATACTCGGGTTTAGAACTGTGTGTCTCGTACCTTGAACTGCTCCAGAATCTGCACTGCGTTTGTGAACATGCTCTCTGCTCTGAAGGCGCCGGTGCCGTTGAGATAACCCACAGGGAGGACGCCCTGTGCGTGGTAAATGCTGGTTAACGTTCGTACTAACAAAGCTCGGGCCAGTCTTACAGAACAAACCAGAATGACCAGGGAAGCAATGAAGGGAAGACACAGGGACAAATACATTACTGGAATAGTAAAACAAAAGAGTCTTTCTTTAAAGCGTAACTGAAAAATGTTCCCTTATTTTTCTCACAAATAAATAGAAATAAAGCAAAAGAAATGAATTAAGTTCGATACAACCCAACACTTATTGCAAATTACTGTGCTGGGCAGTGAACTAAGTGCTTTGCACACGTGACATCCCTATGATGGGCCGCAACCAACACGCCTGACAGAAAAAAACAGGACGGTAAGAAATGTGAGAGTGTACTGTGCATTTAAGAGCGAGGGTTGCTGTGTGGGACTTTTGTATCGGTGACACAGACACACACCCCCTTGACTACAGGCTCACAGCATTCAGCGTTAATGTCTTCATTTGTTGGATTTGAAGAACTGATAAAAATAGCTGGCTGGAATGATTTTTTATGTGCGTGTTTTTTGGCTTTTCTGGATCCATTTCCATTCTTCGCGGCACTGCCATTCCATGTGGAGAACTCTCCCCCGTGGAAAGAGGTGTTGGGTCTCTAAGGGGGCCCTGCCTTCCCTACTGAAGGGCAGTCAGGTGACCCGGGCTGGACCACTGAAACGGTCAGCACTGGAATCTGACCGCCAAGTACCAGGGGGCGAAACGCAGGACAGGGGCAGTGCTACCCCCCCGCAGCGCAGACCACGCTTTGGGCCTTCCTCTGGGTCTGCAGAGCTCTCCCGGTTCCTGCTGCCGGGCCAGGTTTTGAACACGCCGTTCAATCAACAACCACCAATATCTCTGAAATAAATTTCCTTTAAATGGATTCAGTTTCAACTGCTTGTAAACAAAAATTATGCTTTTTTCCTCGATTGTAACTAAGATACAAATATAAATCTGTACACATTTTAGAAAATAAAAAACTTACAGAAAAGCTACTAGGCCTGTTCTCCGTGTTATAGGTAACACTACATGTGCAGTTATAAGGGATTATAGATTTAGGGAAAATACAGTTTCAAATCTAACCAAAGATTACTCAGAAACATAAAAAGTAGACTTTACTGAACAACATACTATTTCATTCTGAGAGTTGGTGAGAGAATTCTGCTGCTTACCACTGAGTTCAGGGGGTAGGGGACCCCGATGAGAGAGGCCATCAGCGGTGCTATGTCAGCCTGCAAGCAGAACAAGTCTGGCTTTACAAAGTCTACCAACATCAGCAAAATTCACTCAGTGCAACTATATTTTGTAATCCAAGCAGCATGTTTGTTATAATCCACTATCTCCAAACATTTATTTAATACACGTTAGATACCAATCTCAAAAAATGTCATTTTCTCGAGGTACACACAACCTTATGAAAAAAATTTGAAAACAAACCATTAAGAGCTCCAAATATAAAACATATTAGAGCAAAATGTTACCTATCCTAGTAGCTAAAAACTTGACCACTTCATATAACAGATTTTCAGTATTAAGGATGCCTTAATCAGACAAAAAAAACACATGGCAATAGTAGACTTTACCTGGGGAAATGTGTATGTTAACTGAAGAAAGAATGTATCAGGCGGAGGTGTGGCCAGGCAGTGAAGTCCAGAAAAGATGCACCAGGTAGGAGGCCCTTTCTCGAGAAGGCCCCAGATACCCTTTTTGGGTAGCTCCTCCCCAAGTCCAGTCTCCCAGACCACTCTCCCTAAGAGAACCAGTAACTTTCATTTTCCTAAATATTACTGCCTATTTTTATATTAAGCCTTATCATTTTTTAGGTAGTAAAGGGCTTGGATGTCAGAACGCCCAGTTTCAAATCCTTGCTTGTACCCTCTGAGACCTTGGGTAGGTTAGTTAACCTCTCCAATGCCTGAGTTTTCTTACCAGTTAAAAAATAAATACAAGTCTCTCCCTTGCAGAGTTACGGCAAGAGTGAATGAGATCAAATGGATAGAGAACCCGGCACCCAATAACCTGTGATACCTGGTGGCTACAAATGCTGCTGTGACTACTAGTTACTGGACCTCTTGGGGGCGCTGTGTGGACACTCCGCCCGGGGCCCCATGACACCAATGCCGCTGAGGGTCTTCAGTCTCACTGTGGGTCCTTTCCAGACCGTTTCTCTGCTCCCCCTTTGAGGCTGGCGTTTGGTCCCAGGATCTCCATCCTTCTCACCTTTTACTATCTGGACTCTCTCTACCAAGTGCCACCCATAGGAAACCGGAAAACTTCAGTGGCCTCCTAATGGCCTTCCCCTGGAAGCCAGGACACGCCTCCTCTAATCCGCCCTCCCCGCTGCAGCCCCAGGAGTCCCACACAAACAAGGGGGTCATGCCCCTCTGGGGTTCAAACACTCGTGGGCTTTCCCAAGCTTTAGGGTTAAGTCCACTGGACCCAAAGGCCCTGCGTGGTCTAGTGCTGCCTCACACCACACCAGGCTCTGCTGCCCTGCACGCCGGCTTTCTGCAAGATCCTCCAACATGCCATGTGCCCTCTGAGCAGAGTTCTGTGCGTGTGTTGCTCCCTCTGCAAGAAAAGCCCCTTGGACTAGTAACTCCTATTTATTTTTCAATCTCAGCTCAACCCTCAATTTCTCAGGAAGCCGTTGCTGGCTACACAGGCTACCAGATACGGAAGTGCCCCCTTTCCAACAGGAGATACGTTCCAAGACACCCCTGAGGATGCCTGAAATTGCAGAGTAGCAAACCTACATATGCAATGCTTTTCCCTACACATACATACACACTTTCACTTGAAGGAAGAAGCACTCGAAGGCTTCTCGTTGGCATGTGTGAATTGCCAGCATCCCTACTCTCACACCCAGGGACCCCGACTAGGGGAAATAGGGTGACATGAACGGAGCTGTGATGCTGCCACAGTGGATCTGATGACTGAGACAGTGACGGATGGACAGAGGGTGTGGAGCGGCTGGACAAAGGATGATTCACGTCCTGGGGAGGACAGAGTGGGATAGAAGGGGATTTCATCACACCACTCAGAATGACATGCAATTTACAACTTATCAATTACTTCTGGAGTTTTCCGTTTAGCATTTTCTGACTGTGGTTGGACGTGGGCAGCTGACCACAGGAAGAGAACCCGTGGCTGAGGGGGGACTACCGTGCATCTGCTCGGGCCTCCAGGGGCCGCCTCTGCAGTCCTCACCACAGCTCCGATTTGACGTCTGTTTGTGCAATTATTTGATCAGCACCTGCTCTCACCCCGAAAGAATAAGCTCCCCTGGGCAGGGATTGCGTCTGCTTTCACTCATCATTACAGCCCCGACACAATGTTGAATGGTAATGTCTGTACAATGCTCAAACCATACTGCAGACACATAATAAAGCTGATGGAAGAAACAAGTAAAGAAATTCGCATCTAACATAGATCTGAAGTAGGATTGCTGAGAGCAATAGCCAAACCTATATTCAGGTTTTTATTATAACCCAGTCTGTCTATAAACAAAACATGTTTTTGTTTTATGGTTTTCAAGTTATTCCTATTCCACTGACAGTCATTTTTACTGCAAATGAATATGTTGCTATTCTGATTTTATACACTAGCACTTATTTGGTGATGCACATCCATCCTGAGAGAGCATTCTCAGTGAACCGAGAAAGAACAGGCTCCCACAACTGCTGGCCTGCAGAAGACCCAGACCTGGGTTCGCCCACCACAGTGAGGGATGTCAGCTGGGGAGTGGGCCAGAGAAGGTAAGACACGCCTGCCACTTTGGGGACGTATGTCCGTGATGCCCCACATTCTATAAACAGTGAAGGTGGCTCCTTACACAGCACACACTCAGTAATGAGCATTTACAGATGACGCCACCAGCCTCAAGTGCTGTGGTTGGCCATGCATTTCCCTGTAATATTTCCCAGCTTCCTAGCTGGGAAATTCATACTCTTGTCACTGTTTCCCCACTGAGTTTATGAGGATCCTGGACAGGATTAAAGATAGGATATGTGTTAATAAAGAGATGGTAACTGACACACTACAGGAAAGAAACGTATAATGAGACTTTAATAGAGCTGCGCTTAAAGCATGCAGTAGGGCAACCATGACGAGGAAGCACAGACATTTAACAGGCAGGCAAATTGCAATTTACATAGAATTATTTAATTAGCCATTGTTATTTGGAGGGAGTCTTTTCCTTTGAGTTTTACTTGAGGCTTTTTATATTTTGTCAAAAGAAAGATTAGTTGGGTTAAAATATTTGCAAGGACAGGACCTCCCTTGGGAAACAAAACGTTCTGAAAGATCATTTATCATCATTATTATTAATGTGTGTTTTTTGTCAGGGTTTTTTTTTGGGGGGTCTAAATGTGTCACAGGAGATACAAGCAAATTCGAACATGATTAAATTGAGATGAATACCTGATTGATATCTTGCCTCTTGTAGTGCTCCAACTTCCAGTCTGAAAGACGCAATGGGACACAAGAGCCGATGTTAAGACTAGAAAAGAATGGGTCACTTCATTGTTATGAGTGCTCGATGCTTAGTGGAACACGGAAGTATTGGAAAAGTCTGTTTTAAGTCAGTACGAACTAACTCAAAGGCAGAGCTGTATGTTTTTAAAATGAGAATTTTAAAAAGAATGACTGAAAAGTATTTGGTGTTTTCTGCGATAATTTATTAAATTTTCAAAATGCTCACTTGGAGATAACTGTTTCTAAACCCTGAAAAGCTAGTGAACGAGCAGTGGAACCAAAAGGCACAATGATAGCGACTGTCGGCAGGACTCCGGCTCGTCCCAACCCCGCTCCAGGGGGCTGTCCGGGCACTTTTCTGCAATGGCAGCTGCTTGCAAAACACTTAAAACTGCAGCTGTGACTGCACCTGCCTTCAATAATCCCCAAAGTTCAAAGAGTACAAGTTAATATTAAAACTGCCCTCAAAGATAACCTCATTCCTCTCTACCTTTCTTTAAATTCAGAAATTTCAATAAACAGTAATCAAAATAATTGAGAACATGTCTTTTTTTTAAAAGATTTTATTTATTTACTTTTAGAGAGAGAGGAAGGGAAAGAGAGAGAGAGGGAGAGAAACATCAATGTGTGTTTGCCTCTCACACACCCCCTACTGGGGGGGTTCCTGGCTCACAACCCAGGGACGTGCCCTGACTGGGAATTGAACCTGTGACCTTTTGGTCCACAGGCAGGCAGTCAGTCCACTAAGCCGTATCAGCCAGGGCCCATGTCTCAATTAAATGACTTTAACATATATTATTGAAAGGCTTCTAAGATATTTTATGATGAAATTTCCTTTAATAAACTAATAAAGTTTAAAATATGTTCCTGCTTCTATTAGTTAGCTATTATAAAATTCACGCTAATCACCTGTTGAGGAAAAGAATATTTTCTTTCTCTGTAACTTATAATACTTAATAGTCATGTAAGAAAAACTACATTCTTTCTGTCATGGTTCTTGAAGGCATGTGATTCTAAAACATTAATTCACTGAAAAAATTAAAGCCAAAATCCAGTCCTATCCCCTAAGTACAAACATACTATTCAACCTAGCTTCTACTTAAATGGAATCTAATCCATTCACCACAGGGCACAGGAATATAAAATGATGCAACCGCATCAGAAAACAGTTTGGAATTCTGCAAAAATTAAACAGTTTCATATAACCCATTTATCCCATTCCTATGAATCCAGACAAGGGAAATTGAAACATATGCCCACACAGGAACTTTCACACAGATCTTCACGCCAATATTATCATAACAGTCACAAGTGTGAAAACAACCCTAATGTCCGTAAGATGACTGTATAAAAAATATGGCATATACAGCAACGAAACATTACTTGGCTATAAGAAATAAACTGTTAATACATGCTACCACCTAGATGAACCGTGAAAACATTATGCCACATGGGAGCAGCCAGATGTGGCATACAGTGAATCATCCCATCTATACGGATCGTCCAGAACAGGCAAATCCACACGGACACAAAGTAGATTAATGGTGACGGGAGGGGGGGAGACACAGGAGTAAGTGCTGATAGGTTTTCTGCAGGGAGGGGGGCTGTGAAATACTTTATAGTTAAATAGTAGAGGTGATGACACAGTCTTGTGAATGTACTCAAAAGAATAAATTATACAATTTTAAAACGTGAATTTTATTGGTATGAGAATTATATCTCCACTAAAAAAATCCATAAAAAGAAAGAAAGCATCTACAGAAATTTAACATATAAACCAAAGAGTCTTCACTGGTAAAAAAAGTAAATAAATAAATAACCGAATACAATTTGAGTCTGAATACCTGGAATAGGTTTTTAAAAAAATTCTAGGCCTTACCCAGACGCATGGAATCTAGTCACAAGATTTGGAAATCTATATTCTTAAAATATCTTTATTTTTAGAAAATAAAGCTTTGGATGAGTCTGATGAAACTAATCCAGAGTATGGTGTTTGAAAGGAGTTTGTTTTGTCCAATCGAAAAGGGTGGAGGGGAATAAAGGGGGAATAGAACAACTGTAACAGCATAATCAATAAAAAAAATTAAAAAAAAAAAAAAAGAAAGAAAAACTTCGCTGGAGCTCTGAAGAAGAACCTCCCTTTAATCCCTTTTCCCCAGGGGCTGAGAGGCAGGGAAGGCTTGGGCAACAGAGAGCCTTCAAAAGTACTAGTCAGGGCACAGTCTGTCCGGTTGTGAAATAGCGGTTGCTGCGTGTTTATCTGATAATCTGTGCAGATAGGATTTGACTCAGGGTTTAATCTACAGCCCCGTAAAAATATGGAGTGTGAAGGAAAAAAACCAACAATACAATTCCTACTTGAACTTTCATAAGGCAAATGATTGAGACTATATATGCTGAATATTATAAATCAAGTCATAGGAACTATATAAAGTACATAGAAATAGTAATGGCACAATATCAAAAGGAAAACTATTGAAGAAATTATTGAAGAGATTATTTATTTATTTATTTTTAGAGAGAGGGGAGGGAGGGAAGGAAGGAAGAAAAAGAGGAAGAGAAAGATCCATCAGTTGCCTCTTGCACACCCCCAGCTGGGGACCTGGCCCACAGCCCTGGCCCTGTGCCCTGACTGGGAATCGAACTGGCAACATTTCAGTTTGTGGGATGATGCCCAACCCACCGAGCCACACCAATCAGGGCTTGGAAAGAATCTTTTAAAATTTAACTTAGGGTATTTTTTAAGATGAGACATTTGTGAAGACAATGAGGATAAGAGTCTGTACCTTTCAGAAGTGTGTCATTAAACCGCTGAGCCGGCACTCTTTGGGGAGACTTAATTCCAGCCCCCCACGTGACGAAAGGAGTCAAGGTCTCTGAAGGGTGACCAGCCCCGTGGGAACCTACAAACAGGACACCAAGAGGAATAAGGCAAGTCCACATGAGCTAACTTACACCTAAATGTTTAGTTTTTAAAGACTTAAAGTGACTCCATCTACAGTTAATTCTAGCCACCACACTCCCAAATGCTTGCGACTCCATATAACCTTTAGTTTCAGAATATTCCGGAAGCCAGTCGGAGCAGCAACGATAAACAGGCACAAACAAACGAACAAACAGAAAAGGCAGAATGTCTGTTGAGTAACTCTAGTTGAAAGAGGCATGAGCAAGAAGGGGCTGGAAAGAGGTATTCCAAGTCATGAAATCTAAAGACCTACAACCAAGATTGCTGTATCCAGCAAAACTTTCATTTAGAATGGAAGGGCAGATAAAGTGTTTCTCAAATAAGATCAAGTTCAAGGAGCTCATCATCACCAAGCCCTTATTATATGAAATGTTAAAGGGACTTACCTAAGAAAAAGAAGTTAAAAAAACATGAACAGTGAAAGGATAGCAAACTCACAGTTATGAACAAATCACACCTAAAATGAAAGCAAACTAAAAGGACAGCTAGATCAGGAGTGGAAACATAGAAATGAAGATCTCAAGGAAGGTTAGCAACAGGGGAGTAGGAGGAGGAGAAGGGGGGAGAAGGTACAGAAAATAAGTAGCATAGACAGTAGGTAGAAAATAGATGGGGGGGCAAGAATAGTAGGGGAAATATAGAATCTAAAGAACTTGAGACACATGGTCATAAACTAAAGGGGGGGTATTGGTGGGGACAGGGGGTGCAGGGTGGAGGGGAATGAAGGGGGGGAATAGAACAACTGTAATGGCATAATCAATAAAAAATAAATTAAAAAATAAAAAAAGAAAGAGGCATGAGAACACGATCAACGAGGGTGAAGAAGATGCCCCGGGGGCACCTCCAAAGGCAGAAGGAACAGGGCAGGGGCTGCTGGGGCGGCGCCAGGCACGCTCGGGCGGACGCTGAGACCAGGTCTGCTCCGGGGAGGACGGCAAAGTCTCCAGACCTTTATCTTCCAGGGCCGTCTGGCTGGTGCGGCCAAAGGCCTCCACAAAGTGGGACTGGCTCACTAGGATTCTAGAGGCCAACCCCATCTTTGCCTCACTGTGTTCTCCAGGCACACACTGTGTTTTCCTGGGGACACCCACGGGGGGGATAGAACTGTCGAGGGTCGGACTTCAGTAGTAACGCCCTTTGCCCTCAAAGGAAACCCTAGGTAGACAGGTATTGATAGTTTTTGTTTTCTTCTCCCTACTTTTCCCCAAGTTACATTTTGAGAATATAGTCCTTCTATAGTTAGAAGACTCTGTATACAAGATCAGAACTTTTACACTAACATCTTAAGCATACGATGATGTGCTGGACACTTCGCAGGCACTAAGACACGGACCCCCCTCCGCAGGGCATCTACGGGCCTCGTTTCCCACGTTCATTGTGAAGTGCATGCTGCTGAAGACCAACTCACCCCAGTCTGTCATTCCATGGTCAGAGGTAAAGATAAATGCTGTTTTCTCATCATTTCCATAAAACTCCTTAAACAGGGACACAACGCCTTTAACTCCTTCATCGACTATTTTAATATTGTCCTTATATTCCCTGTTTAAAAAGAAACAGAAGAACTCGTTAAATACGTTAATTTGGAAAAATCAAATTTATTCAACATGAACATGCAACATTCAAAGTCAGTAACTCCTGAAATACTTTCAGATTTCAACTTTAATATTTCAAAAGCAGAGCTCTTTAGATTGTTAAAAATAATGTTTCCTCTGTTTAAAGAAGCAACAGAATATGAAACAGTTTTCCAAAGTGATTTAAGAGGAGGGTACTGATTAGCAAACACATGTTAATGAACGCCTTTCAGGGTCAAGTGCAACAGCGACGCCTTTCAGTTCACATCTCTCGTAATGCAGACTACATTGTCTTTGTCGCTTTGAAGGGCAAGTGTGACCATTTTAAGTACAGGATATTTTCATCCCTTAGACTGCCTGTGATATACAATATTATAATGTAGTATCATATTAGGCATGTTCTGGACAAATTACACTTAAGCTTTCTATACGTGTGCACTTAAAAACTGCAGGGACAGCCAGGCTGGGTGAAGAAGGCCGGCTTGGCAGGAACTCTACCCGTTAAATCAGTGTGTCACGTGGACAGAGAGGAGCAGGAGGTGCCCGTGACTGGCAGCCAACCAGCAGGCTTTGCAGCTAGACCAGTCTACACTAAATCTGAAGTAAGTGCAAAACTACGACATAGATTCTTCCTCTTTCTTATGGTCTACAAAAGTGAGAAAAATATTTGCTATCTGTATAAGGAATACGACTGAAGTATAGAATACAAAACTTTATACAGTGATTTGTTAGATATATTACTGAATAAATGGAACACATAAGGAATTATATAGTTTGTGATATAACACCATAAAAATACTTTTTATCTCAAGATGAACTGAATTTCGAAAATATGTAAGTTTCTTCTCTTCCTTGACAAATGAGGAATACAGAATGTGTGTTACTTACATTAATTTACAGTCTGGCCACAGCACATGTAATTTTAGCTTCTATATCAATCTACAGTTCATATAATTGAGAGCTTACTGTACTTTACAGTTATTTAAAACATAAATATAAATATAACACTACTTTAGAGTTATTTAAAATATTGTTGTGATAATCACAAAAAACCCTATTATAATATTTCAAAAGTTCAAACAGAATGGTTGTTTCCCACAAATATAAGAAATTAAACACAGCATTAAAATTACCTTGATGTTGGTCGGTGAGCATGTCCATTTGTATCTATTCCTAGTAAGTGTAAGAAAAAAACGATTCTCTCTTCATTTAGTTTAGAATACAAAGACTGGTTGTTTCTGGCAGCATGAAAGAATTCCTGTATGTAACAAGCCGGTTAAAAAATTTAGTGCGTTTCTTTTATTTAGAAAATAACTGACGAACACATTTAATTAAATTTATACATAATCATGACATTATCTTATTTTTTAAAAATTTATCCTTGGGCCTCCCAACACAAGGTCCTTGTTATCACCTGAGACCTGTGTTCAACAGGGAGGGAGCTATTTTTTGTGCAAAAAAAGGTTATAGGAAGGAGGTCTGATTTCATGAAGATCTCATAGTATTGAATAAAAATAGGAGATTGAGGAACTATTTTGACGAGAGCCAAAAATAAAGCAGCACTAGTGGCCTTCAGGGCACACAGAAGAGGGTTAGCACCTGAGTCGGGTGGGGAGTGGGGAGAAGCAAGGGGTAACCAGAGATGCCCTCATGGAGAAGACGATACATAAGCTGAGTTTTAGAAAGAGACTCAACATGGGTGAACTTTATAAGGGTATTATGTGCACTGAGAGGCACCGGGCAGAAAGGGACAAACAGTATAAATTCATTTCTAAGAGGTAACGAGTGATCAACGCACAGAAACAGAAAGTGGAATGGTGGCTGCCAGGGGCTGGGGAGCAGGCTGGGGGCGGGGGAACGAGTAGTTGTTGTTTGACGGGTGTGGAGTTTGTTTGGCAAGATGAAGACGATGCCCAGGAGACCGGCTGCACAAGTGTGAATGTACTCAACCCTGCTGAACCTGTACACTTAAAAATGGAGAGGACGGCACCTTTTATGTTATGTGTATTCTACCCCAATTTTTAAAAAAGTGAGTAGAACTTTACGTGGATCTGTAAACTATTTGGCTCGAGTTCAGCACGAGTCTCGGGCAGGGTGCAGGGTCCAGGGTCCGGGTGAGACCCTTGACTCCCTCTCCGGCCTTATCTCAAACCCGGCTCCCAGCTGGCCCTGCTGCCATTCTAACCTCCCCGTCCTCAGACTTCCTCAGGTCCAGGCCGGCTCCTCCTGCAGGGCCCAAGAGGTGCAGAAGGCCACGGGCAAACCAGACCCATACTCTCATCTCCCATATTTCTTCAGAGACCACCCCAAGATTCTCAGGAAGGCCTCCCCTAACCGTTCAGTCTAGATCAGAGTTTTCTAAAGACACATTCTCGGTCCCTGTATTTTTCTTTCACACTGTTCACCACTGTTGATGAGCTCACATTTTTGTTGCTATGTATGTATTTTATGAAGTCAAGGGCAAATTTTTTTTTTCTGTTTGCCAACACTAGCAACGTTGAAATAACGGAGGGGAAAAAGGCATAAAATCAGGTCAGCCACCAGCTATATATGCCCATCCACAAGAAACCAAATTCAAGCATTTTCAGCTGTGTAAGCCAAGGGCCTTTAAGAAGTGGCTAATGTAAGTAAGTTGATTATATTAAAACATGATCATTAGCAAAGAAATTCACTATTTTCTTAAAGAAGTTTAATTTAACTTGAAAGGTTTCCCCGTTTACAAAAGTCTATGTTACTTGAAAAAAGAAAATTTCAAGGAGAAAGATCCTGGCGAAAGAGTGTTTATCAAAGAAGGCAGAGCCTTGAGTTCCTGCTGAGTAAACACAGAGAGAACGCAAACATGCCAAGGAGCCTGCTGCAAACCCGTGGATGAAAAAGGCTACATTACGGAGAAGTGCACAGTGTCAGTTCCGAAGATGTAACTGGTAAAAAGAAGAACCACTACGGCTCACTCAATGGAAGCCTCTTTCAACATATAAGTTATCATTTGAACATGAGAAACAAGGGACTGATAGAGAGGAGAGAGCCAGGAGCCACAGCTGAGATTTTCCCACAATTTCTGATGAATTTTAACTGGATTCCTGGTGAAACTGTGATAATTGTTACTATCAAACAGCGAAACAACTCTTAAATGCATAAATATTTTATTGATTAATTTGCTAAGTTGTTTTTACTTAACCTAATTTTTACTTAAAGTACAATTTAAAAAAAAAATCTACTTTCTGTATTACAATGCATTCCCTTTAAACAGTGTTTTCAAAAGGCCCTCACCCATCTCCTGTGGGCTGCTGGGGCGAGACACCTCGGGTGACACAGCAGATGAGGAATGAGACAAAGGTGACCCCAAGTCCAGCCTGGGGCTCATTCACTCTCCGAGACATGTATCATGAAAAGGTTACCTTTTTAAAATTAACATTTAAACTTCTCTGTAATTGGTTATTGTACAATGTACAATTCTTAGTAGCCGGTCTTTTAAAAACTGTGCTACGACATAGAAGTTTCACGTTCACACACGTGGAAAGCAACTAAGACGCATTTACTAGCAAATCAGTTTCTAGCACTCGAGGTAGAAATGCGTGTGCTGTGCCTTAACCACTCAATAGCACGCACCTTCACACGATCAAAAACCCATGTGTCCAGTTCTGATACATCCTGGGCACCAAAATCCTCACTGTCAGCGTCATAACTGTATGTAAAAACATGGTTTCCTGTAGCGCCTGCAAGGGAAATTTGGGGGAAAAATTTTTTACCATCTTTTAAACTGTTATAATTATGAAGTAGTCATTAAAGATTTCTGTGAGTACCCAGAATTTTTCACAAAGCATTTTGTATTATGATGGGGAAAATAAAGAGGGGAAGAATAATTAACACTTATTTTACGTACCATGGACCATGCTTTGCACACTTGCTGTTGTGTTTTGCTCTCACAATAACATATTCCAATTTTAGAGAGACACTACATGTAAGTTAATTACCTTGCCAAAGTGACAATACTGATGTACAAAAATAAACACTGAAGTCTGTCTCCTTACAAGGATTAAAGTACTCAAAAAAATCTTTTTGTGTATCTGTTAGATGTTACAATCTAAAACAGATGAAGTCGTTTCATTTACAAAACTTCCTAAAACAAGAAAAAAATTCAAATATTCACTTCTCTTACTCACAGTACATGTGTAAAAGGGGGGAGGAGGCCCAAAACCCAGAATTTGTTTATTGGAAATTGTGTATTCATCCTTACATGTTTAAACTTCAGTCACCTTCAAAGAACTCTCCATTTGATGCAATACACCTATTGAGATGTTCTTCCCAAGCTCAAAACAGTTTTTGAACTTGTTGACTTTCATGCCTTTTAGTGCTTCTGCCATTTACTGTTTCACCTCCCACAGAGGTAAAATATTTCCCTTTGAGGACTTTTTTCAGCCGGGGAAGTAAGAAACAGTTTCTAGGGGAAAGACTGGGTGAATAGGAAGGGTGGGGCACAGGGTCCTGACATTTCTTGTTAAAAACCACTGAACACTCAGCGCAGGGCGGTACGCTCATAAATCGCCCACCATGAAATGGGCACATTAAGAGTCTTCAAACAAATTCCCTGAAGCTGAACACAGCCTCTCACAACAACGCCAGCTGGTGCACTGATACAGATGGGGTCCTAGAACACTGACCTAGCAGGGGAAGCCTGTATTACAAGGGGCCTGCCCTCTAGAAGATAATTCCATTTGGGGGCAGAGGGTCCCCCCTCATATATTTCTCAATATTAAGGGAATAAATATTGCTTATTGTCAAACAGTTTGACAGAGCAAACAAATATATTAATCTTATGCATTTGCAATATTTTACCAAGAATCCAATCAACTTAGTAAAGTTCTGAGTTAGACTCATAGAGATCACAGGGAAGACATCAAATAATGATAATCTCTCATGACATCAGTTTAGCTCTACAAACGTTAGCTGTTCCACTGCTCAGCCGCTCTACTTCCCAGTCCCGAGGACAGATCAGACCGGTCCTATCAGCCTCAGCCAGAAGCTGGACGCTGGAAGCCACAGCAACTTAATCCACCCTCACCACCACCGGTCCCCCAAAACCAAACTGCTGTCCAAAGAAGGAAGTGTGTATAAACGGCAAGCGGTTTGCAGGCTTGTCTTTTTTTTTTTTTTTTTGGGGGGGGGCATGCCCTACATAATGATGTTCTCTGAATAACATATGTAAAATCCTGATTATGTATTTGCTTTGAGGACATATTAATCTTCAATAATTAAAGATTATAATTTGAATTATAATCTTAAATCAATTATAATTACACCTGTGGCTAAGTATGTTACAAAACCTTTTTGTTAACTGAAATGACCAATCATTCTGCCCCCATAAAAGGCATTTAATAACATAATATTGAAATAAAATCCAAGTGATTTGAGGAAGTAATATTAATTTTGCAATCAAAAGATGTTCTAATAATTGCAGATTCATACAAAGAAACCAACACAACAAATCCAAATGACAGGATCTTGAATATATAAAAGTAGGAATCATAAACATAAATTTTAGTGTTTAAATCTTTATGTGACTATCTACTAACCTCTATTTAAAATTTTTTACCAACTTCTTAATTTATCAACAAAAAATAAACCAGATATCAACACCTTCATCACAAGGAGTTATATAAGCACTTGGCTAAATGTTTCAAAAGAATCATCTAATTTTACCCTAAAAACCAACCTATGAGATAAAAACTGTCATATTTATAAAAAGGCAAACTTAAGATCAGAGAAGTTCTTTAACTTGTCCAAGATTATAAAGCTGTTGAATGTTAGTGCCATGTATCATTTCATTGAGTCCAAAACACTACCAACCATGCGATGTGCCAATATTTCAACTCAGAAGGAAAAACCAAGTTGACATGTCTATTCACTGCAACATACACCCCTATTTCAGAAATGCTAACTATGTTAAAACGTGTCTCAAAATCAATAAATCTAGTGTATAGGAAATTAGCCATGGCTCATTAACCTATTTATTGTCTGAGAAAGCAGCACCGGTGACCCTCACCTTTGGCAAACATAGACACGATGTCCGGGCTCCCCCAGCTCCACGTGTACCTGCTTTCGTTGAAGAGGGAGTCGAATTCTACAGGGTTTTCTTTCCATCCTTCAGAGAGATGAGGAAAAGAGCAAATAATAACATTAGTAACACAGACATGGGGAGATATTACTATGGCCCCTGAAGAAGTATTTTTCAAATAGTAATAGTGAGGATTAATCGCACAACAGATGCAAAAGTAAAAACAGATTTTGTTACATATACCATGCTATGATTTTCTTAAAGCTTACAACAGATAATTTACTTGTTACTAAAACACACAACTATTGTGAACTTTTGAGAGTTAACATCTAGGAAAACCACAGATCCAGCCATTCACATTCTTTTATCAGTACAGGGTGATACAAGACTAAAAGCTGAATTCTTGAATTAATACCCGTGTGTGTCTATGTAAGGCCTGATAAAATATTTATGAAAAGTATCCCCAAACGTGCTTCACTTGTGTTGTGACTCAGGGTGAATGAGCACTGCCGACACAGTAGTTTTCCCGAGACACAACTGTCTGAACAGGCAATACCTTTGGCAACCGCACTGACATCCTCATAAAAGCCAGCGATCACGGCCACGTGGCCTGGCCGAGACTCAGTTGGCACCCGCGTATGAGAGACGCCCCAGCTGCCTTCCTGCATCACGATATTCCTGAAAGACATCAGCGATGAGCAGTGAACAGACTGCAAGGAACTGCTCCAGGAAGGTTTGGGGAGAATAAGATGATTATAGGAGTCAAAACCAAAGAAGGCAGTCAAAACTTAGGGATGAAAGGAATCCTTTTAAGCCCAGCTGAGCCCGGTCCTCGCCCTTGTACCAGTGGGTGGACAGAGAACCACCCAACCTCTGCATGGAATCGAGACAAAAGACACCACTGTCGTTTGAAGCCACAATGTACTGAGATGGTTTGTTACATAATAAATAACTGACACACATGATAAAATCCTATCCTGTTAAATTTTTATTAGGTATGATGATGGTATGTATTATGGTCACGCAGGAGAAAGTCCTTGTTCTTAACAGAAACTCACTAAAGTGTTTAGAGATGGTGTTATACTACCTTTTTTACAAATTTTTCAATTACGGTTGACATTTGGTATTATTTTACATGAGTTTTAGGTGTATAGCACCGTGATTAGACATTCATATGGTTTGCAAAGGGATCCTCCCCCGGGTAAGTCTAGTGCGCACCTGGCAACAGCCCCACTGACCGTATTGCCCCCGCTGTACTTTACGGCCCTGTGACTACGTTGTAACCACCAATTGGTGCTTCTTGGTCCCTTCAGTTTTTCCACCCAGTCCCCTGCCCTCACTGCATCTGACAACCATCAGTTTGTTCTCTGTATTTATGAAAACCTAATATCTTGCTTTCCAATTATCCAGGAAAAAAATTAAGCCTCTGTGTGTGTGTATACTGAAAGGATGCAAATATGAAAAAAGTTACAAGTTGTTAAATCTAGGTTATAGGTATACAAATGTTCATTATACAACCTTTTCAAATTTCCCAGTACTTGAAAAAGTCTCAAAAAATTAAGGAAAGGGGAAAAGGCTACACTCCTACAGTACATCCCTACAGTACATTAAAACAGGCAAAAAGTTTCCTTCACTAAAATGTATCAATATTTCTTAAATTGTATCATAGTGATTTGCAAAATTTTGGACAGCGAGACCACCAGCAATGCCTTTGCAGGGGAAAGGTCGGCAGAGCAACTAGTTACAAAGCACTGCGTTGTAACATGTTTCAAGAGAAGCACTTGGCTCTCCAAAAGGTCTGTGTAAAAGTATCTGTAAGACAATGGTGGGGTGACAGCCAGAGGGAAAGGGGACGTGGAAGCAGCCAGTGGAGGTGGGCCAAAGGGGTGAAAATGGGACAGAAAGAGATTTTTCTTGGAGTGGTGGGTGTACGATGCGGTGTGCCCATGACGTTCTTTTGAGTTGTACACTTGAAATCTGTACTGGTTTGCGAACCAACATCACCCCAATTGATTCCATTAAAAAAAAGTTTAAGTACCGGTTTAGACACTTTTAGTATTGACTTACCTCATAATAAAACAAATTTCAGTAAAATACACACATACTAAGTAAAAGGCTTGAAAACCATTGAACCACATATTAAGAAAGAAAGATTTTTTAAAATTCTTTAGTTATAGAATGAAAACTGAACTTAGAAAGATAAAGGCATGAAGAAATTTGGACACCTCTGCTTAAAAAGTTTGATCAGTTCAGATCATACTTTTCCCAAAGATGTCTGTCTCAGCCGACACGCTCACCTAATAAACGGTGCTCTAGGATTTCCGTTTTCATCGAATTCATGGAGTGCGTCAGCCCGCAGCCCATCGGCGATGATGAGCACCAGCCTCCGTGCCGGAGGAGGCAGTGGCGTAAACTGGGGGGTCATCCCATGAACCAGGGGGGAGGTAAAGTAGATGTCAAAGATGGAGGCGAAGAACACAATGTGGACAAACAACCCCACAATGAAGAACAGCAGCATGTCCAGGGCACCTAATAACCTTCAAGAAAAGCTGAAAGAGGGAACGAAATGAAATTTGGGTGAACCTCGCTGCAGTTCTATACTTTCACAAAGCCTGATGACTTCATGCAGTTGTGATACATAGTTTACAATTCTGCATATCTCACAGCTTCATTTGTGGTGGTAACAATGAGCACTTTTCAATAATGAGGTGATACTGAAATAATGCATGATAATGTACGCTCAAGAAAAAATAAAACGTTCAATAAGCAATCAGCTCCAGTGAACTATAATAAAATTAAATGTATATTAAGCTCCTAATAACTAGTATACAGTAGGATCAAAAAACAAAGAAAGAACTAAATGAGCCCTAAAATGAGTTGGGGTGCAGTCAAATCAAATCCTATATAAAATAGAATATATAACTCCTGGTGCTCTTGGCTGCCCATATGACAACCACTGATACTCCCAGAATTTTCATATCATCTACATGTGTGAGGATTTTTTTCAATGTTTGCTTATCGGCTCAGGAGACTTCTAACTTTTCTCCACTATCACCAACTTGAATACACAACATGTGTCTTTGTCTAGTTAGCTAAATTACAGGAAGGAAAAAGTAGTTAAATCTCATCTTTGCTTCGGGAAATTTGTACTCATTCAGGGAACACAGTTTTTTAGTTCCCTGAACAGCAAAGAAGAAAGCAGAAGGTTACATTTATTCAATCAATAAAAGTGTTCTGCACACATATGATGCGAATAATTGTGTGCAGAGACCGGAAGAGGGCACAGTCACAGACCTGGTGACCTGATGGGCTTACAAATACTTAGCAAGGGAAAGCTAGGCAATGGGAAATGAAACATGTAAATAATCCTGTAAGACAGCGTGCAGTTAACTGCCAAGATCAACCTGTCCATGAAGTGTGTTTCAAGTCGGTCTAAACTTGCTTTTGTGGCTGAACCTCTGGAGGTTGAGATCAACCAAGGACTCTAACGTGTCTGTCTTGTAATGCAACTGCATTAGTTATATACGATGACTCCTGGGTGAAAACCACCAGAGATGAAATAACTTTGACTAGAGACACATACTATTCACCCCGGCCTGAAAAATTACATCGTGGAAAGAAAGGCTGACACAATACCCTGCAAAGAGCTTAAACGTCGGGGTATAAACCTTATCGAAGCCAAGCACGTAACAAAAAATGGAAATAGAGCAAAGGGCCAAATTATGGGCCACTTTTTTTTTCTGAAAAAATCAAGAGTAGCTAAATGTCAAAGATTTTTCATAAAGTATGAAAATGCCTTAGTTAGTAGATGCTGTTCTGCAGTCTAAACATAAGACTATCAGAATAAATATTCTGCTTTTTCTAGTCTACATGAGTTTCAACTAAACAACAAGCACCATCTTAATAATGGCATTCTGAATATAAAAGTAAGACAATCATTCTGATAAGTTTAGAAAATATAGAAAAGTCACCCATAATTTGACAACCTAGACAAAAATCTATTAAGTTTCTTATTTTATCCTATCTTCATTTTTAGAGGCTCATAATTTTACACACTGATTTTTTCCTTTATTGTACATGAGCACTTCTGTTATTAAAAAAAAACAAAACGCCTTCCTATGCATCGCACCCTCATGTATCTAGTCTGCAGGGCGCATCTTAATTCTCTTGATTACCCCCACATTGTGCAGCATTAAGGCCTCTTCCAATTTTCACTCTTAACAGTCAGTGTGACAAATCTGAAGCAAGCCCTGTCCATCATTTCTGTGTGTCTAGGTGAGCACCTCTGAAATGCCTCTTTTCAGACACCTCCTTCTAAATCACGTCCACCTGCAACAGCAGTCGTAATCTTGTGGACTATTCTGTAATCTGACCCCCACCTTGCTCTTTCCCACCTTCATGCAATCTTCCTTCCTTAATTCCAAATTCGTAAAAGAAACTGCAAACTGTCCTTCAGAGAAGCATTTTGCCTGGTCCGTTGAAATCTTGCTTCTAGTCATATCGTCTGTTTCGCTCAAATGAATTTTTATTAAAATTCTCTACAGGTTTGTATGTTCTTCTATCAACAATTCATAATGAAATGCTATGTAGCTTTGAAAACGAGTTAAACCACATCTATGACAAGGATGCATCTCACAAATATAAGACTTAATTAAAAAAAAATCTTTTAGCAGCATTGACTGCTCTTTTGTCCCACCACCGCCAGACTTCCTGAAAATACTGAATGCAGTCTCTTTTTACCTGGCCACCTAAGTTCAGACAACTTACAATGAGCCCTTGTTTTCGTTACATTCGAGGGAAAGCTTTTACTAATGCAGCAAAACCCAATGGCTTTTTCCCACTCATCTCCATGGCTTATCCAGTGCACTTGTCTTTCTTAACCACGCCGTCTTTGGAAAACAGCTCTCATTTCTTGGCTTCCTTGAACATTACTTCTTTGGTTTTTTTCCTAAGCCTATGACCAGTGTAAAATGGGCGCTACTGGTCAGTGACTTTTGGAGCTACTCAAAACTTGGTTGTAGGCCCTCTTCTCTCCTCACTCAATACCTTCTATTTAAACATTTTAAGTCATATTCTTGGCTTTAGTTACCACATACATGCAAAAGCCTCAACAAATCAGAGCTCCAAACCCATGTATGTAACTCTAACCTTGACGCATCCACTTGCATATTTCAAAGAAATGCAACTGAGTATGTTTTTAACCAAACTCATGGCATCACCCCCACCACCCCGCCCCCTGGCCCAGGCCATGAGCCCTGTCCTGTTTAGGGAGGAGCCCCCCAGCACCTAGGGCCCCCAGTCTCAGGCAAAGGCGCCACCTTCCATCCTAATACGCAAACCAGAGAACTAGGAGTCATTCTTTATACCCCATTCTTCTGCTGTGTGGCAATGAATTATTTTTTTTGTTTTGCTTATTTCAACATGTAAATCTGAACAACTCATCCCTTATTAAAACCCTTTAGTGCCTCTCCCCCATCCTAATCAAGACCGAAATCCTTAGGGGGACTAACAAGGTCTTACATGGGCTGGCCTCTGCCTCTTTTTCCAGCCTTGTCCCATAGCTCCCTCTGCCCCCTTTGCTTTATGGCATCTCCCCACACGGGCCTTTTTTTCTTTATATTTCTTTACATGTGCCACGCTCCCTATTGCTGCAAGGCCTTCATGGGTACAATTCCTCCACAGAACGCACCTCCAACCTTCCCTCCATTCTCTCACCCCGTCTCATAACATCTCCTCAAGCTTTCAAGCACCATCTCCGCTGGGACTCTGCAGTCTGAATCAGAAACCGAACCTTTTACTTTGGTTCATAATGACACAGCTATGTATTTCACCATTACTATCTGTCTGAAATTAACCATAATTTCATCACAGCAAGAGAGGGCTTCTCCAGCACTCATCACAGTCCTCGGCACTTAGCAAATGGTTACCGAATTACTTAAGATGATCATTTCAATGGTACATGTAATATGCAGTATTGCCACTAGAGGCCGCTTTGCTTCTCTTTTTATTGCTCCAGAACACAGAGAAAAACTGTAAAGATTCAGGATACAGAATCCCATTTTATTAGATTTACTGAAAAAGAAAACTTTGTCATAATTCAATTATTTAGAAACCTCTCAAAATAACTGAATAACTACTAATAATTTTAAGACACATATCCATGTACCAATAAAAGCTTTTGCCTGAGAAATGTTTGCTATACGTTAAAAAAACAATAAAACATTAGATATTTCTAAAACTTTAAGTCAACCACGACTTGCATTTAAAATTTTCCTTGTAGTTATTTTAAAACTTTTAAAGCCAAAAATAATTTTTAGACACAAAAATGATTGAAGGACATGGGAAAAAAACAATCTGGTACATTTCATCACTATGATACAAACTGCAATCATTCTCATTATTCAATGAAACATTAGGCGTAAAGACCCACAGTAATGCAAATCTTGATAAGCAGAAAAATATTCCCAACATATTAACAATAAACTATTGTTAAGCAGAGATCAGCAATTATTAATATTCTAATGTGTACTACTTCCTAAAATTTTAAATTGACAAACTGTATAGCAGAAAAGCAAAGTACTTACGGAGAAGATTAGCCAGTTGGTTTGTTATGGACATGGAAGGTCACATCAACAAATCCATGAATCTAGGATATAAAGTAGAATCAGGAAACTAGACTTGTACAGGAAGCCAATCATGAAGGACTTCTATAGCCAACTGCTTACAACTAACTCTCTGAGGAAACATGTTAACTCTATGTTCAACTTATATTGTAGAAGTCAGACCCTAAGTTAAAGCTATGTTTTTTTGGCCGTGCAGACTTAATTGCTTTTTCCAGTTGATATTTATTTTATTTTTAAAAACCTGCCAAATATTTTTAATTTATGCTAATATTGCACTAAATGATGACTGGCTATAATAACATTTATGATACACTAAGTACCAGGCTCTGCGACCAGCTCATTCCTAATTCTGAGTACTTTCATTATCTCTTTGACAGACAGATGAATGTGAGGTTAAAGAAGTCCCTAACTTTGTAAATGTCTCACAGCAAATAATTGGTACAACTGGGATACAAACCTTTATCAGGTGGGATCTCTTCCACCTGATAAGAACAATCCTCTCCAGGGACCCTAAGTGAAGGCAATTTCTAAAATTCCTCATTACAGAGACGGAAAGATTGTATATAAACTGCCCATTTCTAATCCTGCCCTTCCCAAGCCATCCCTAATCCCTTTCATTCCTCCATTCCACAGCTTGGTTCCACTTGCATTCTCTCTGGCAAACTCACTCAGAATAAGCATCAGCAATTCTTTCTGCCAAGAAATATGTAACCGGCTACAGCATTAGTTATTTTTAACACTATTTTTCTAACATGGGATTTTTTCATGTTTTTCTTCAATATATGTCACTGAAAAATATTGAGAATTCATACATCAAACGCTTACATTGTATTAAAAAATATTTCACATTCTTAGTACTAACAATGTGCCAAAAAGTTCTGGCAAAAACAAAACAAACAAACCCAAAGCTTCATTCAAATGAAAATTTGAGTTTACTGAGCCTGGGTAAACTGAAACGAAAGCCTACACTTACCTGTTGGCATACCTTTGCGTGTAAACCAATAACCTGCCCGGAGGTTATGTAAGAATGCTCTATTTTAATTTTTCCACAGAGCTAGAGGAGATACTTTACTTCTGGGATGTAATAATGTACCTTACCTGATAACATAATGACTGCTCACCTATTTACTTGGGTGCTTAAAGGAAGCTATACAGAAAGAAAGGGAATCTTAAACCCGTGAAAGTAGCAATTTATGTGTGAAGAAAAGAGAAACTCTCAGGAATAGCGCTCTAATACCGTTGGCTAGAAACGAATATCCCCATTACCACCTTGGAGTGTAACCAAGGAATGACATAGAAGATAAACATCGAACTTCCAAATTTAGTATACTTACTTTATGTGCTAGTATTTCATAAAGAAAGTCAAAACTATCCAAAAGCATCTAAGTTTTAAAATAATTAAGTTTCACTGTCAATGCCTGCATTCCAGCCTAAACGGACAAGTTGCAAGGCATAGTGGGAGAAGAATGGCTTTTCGGACGTTAATAGAACTGGTTTTAGTTCCTTTGAATATTTATGAGTGGAGTTGACTTGAACAGGTCAATGAACATTCCTAGGCTTAAATTCACTGATCTCTCTACTGGATGGCACTGTATATGGACTGGATAGACCGAAGGGTCCTATCAGTCACTGATCTCTCTACTGGATAGGATTGAAGGGTCCCTTGTGGTGCAAATTAAGTATTAAATCCTAAATGTTGTACCCCTAAGTTTGTTACCCAAGTCGAAGCTATCAGGGTATTCACAGACCCAAGCAAATCCTTTTTCCATTTACTTTGCACCTCCCACGCCCCACCTCACCCCACCTGTCGTTTCGTAGCACTAATTCGAAGGCGAGAAGGTACTCCCCAGAAGTGCAAGCAGTCGGTGCTATTGCCAGGCCTCCAGGGCAACCAGGCACGTGGCTGGGAAGGGAAGGAAGATTTTTAAAAAGCCAAATTCTAACTCCTGCCTGCGCACCCGCTACACATGCAGGAAAAATGTCACCAATTGGCAGCAAAAAGAAAGAAAAAGTAAAGCGTGCTGGAGAAGCAGCGCGTCTGCGGGAGTGGGGCCAGTTTCGGTGCCTCCATACCTCTGTGCACTGGTCCCGGATTTCACCTGGGACTTATCCTGATCAGGCCTGACCCGGGAATGAGGCCTCCTCAGATCGAAGGCAGGACACAACTCTGTGGCAGAGTTCTCCTCTGCCCCTTGAAAGCAGACCCCGAAGAACGTTCCTAACTCACGATCATAACCGTATCTCCAGCACAGAACGCCCAGCGACACTTACCTGGCCAGCGACTGCTATCGCGATAACTCTAGGACCAGTCCTATGTAACCTCTCCTCCACTGACCAATGAGACAGGAGCAGAGGCGGGGTTTTGCCTTGGAACCCAGAGCAGCTTTGCTCGCGGGTGAGTGAAACGACCGGGTTGGGGCGGGGCGGGCGCAGGACGAGGCGGAGCGAGCGGGGGCAGAACGCGCCCCATTTCTCGCGAGACTGGAGACCAGGAAGACGCCTGCAGAGCCCAGCTGCTGGTGCAGCAGGGGCTGAAACAACCAGTGCAGCTGCGTCCCGACCCGCTCCCTCTGAGCCTACGCCTCCTCTCCAGAAGGGGAGGCGGGACGTGGCCGGTCTCGGGCTGTGAAGGTGGGCAGTGCCCTCTGAGGTTTAGGGGGAATTCAGACTGCGGCCTGTCAGAGGCAGTCAGGGAGGTACCCACACGCCTGACAGAATAAGATGGCGGCGATGGTGCCTGGAGGTAGTGGCAGTGGTGGCGGTGGCGTGAATCCATTCCTCAGTGATTCGGACGAAGACGACGAAGAGGTAGCGACGACCGAAGAGCGGCGGGCAGGACTTCGGCTGGGTTCTGGGGGCGACCTAGATCCTGGCTCTGCAGACTCGCTATCGCCCCAGGATCCCGTGCCCTTAGGGAGCAGTGCACGGCCAGGGCTCCCTGGGGAGGCGGCGGCGACGGCTGCGGTGGCTTTGGGGGGCACTGGGGAGACCCCGGCCCGCTTGTCAATTGATGCAATCGCGGCTCAGCTGTTGCGTGATCAATACTTGCTCACCGCCCTGGAGCTGCACACCGAACTGTTAGAGAGCGGCCGTGAGCTGCCCCGGCTGCGCGACTACTTCTCCAATCCCGGCAACTTCGAGAGGCAGAGTGGGACCCCGCCGGGGATGGGGGCGCCGGGGATCCCCGGAGCCGTCGGCGTTGGAGGTGCAGGAGGTCGGGAGCCGAGCATGACGTCGGGCGGGGGACAGCTCAGTAAGTGAACGTGGCTTGCCTCTCCTGCAGGGTTGTGATTGTTGTGGGGGAGGGTTTTTCTGGGCGGCTGCTGAGTATTAGGAACGTTTTAGAAAGACAGTTGCAGGGGGCGGTGGCCCTTGGCGGTGCAAGCCGAAGAATCCGGCAGTGACTGCTCTCTCCGCCTGCCTCCATCCCTTGGCTGAACTTGCACTGGCTCCCGGCTCCCGTGTTGGAGTCAGTATCAATAAACAATATCCAGCGTTTCTAGTTCACCGGCCTCCAGACGGCTCCCTCGCAGACTGGCTTATCGCTTTAATCATTTTTCCTTTTTCTCCAATGTCCTGAATCGCCACTACCAGGAAAGTGTGTTTCTTAAATTATTCGCAGTAATTCAGTCAAAGAATAGGAAATGTTGTTTGGTCCTCAAAGTCAGATTCACTAAAAACCCTTTGTCTTTGGGAGGGGTTTCTCACTCAAAAAAAAAAAAAAAAAGGTGGGGAGGGTGGTGGGAGGGCCAACTGCATAAAATGTGTTCTGTTGAAATATAATCAATTTAATTCAATTTCAATGCCTTCATTTCAGTAGTTTCCAAAATCACAGGAAATCTAAGGAGCGGAGTAGGCAAGTTCTGCCTGCCATCTATCTGGTGGTCCCACCACACTGCCTCCTTTTCATTCTGCATGAGTGAGGAATTTAGTTTCTGACCTTGTTAAAATTATTTTAGCAGCACAGAGCAATCGTTTACCACATTTTTCATATACTGTTTATAAGCACTTCTTACGGCTTCAAAAGTACTCTCAAGGGAATGTATATATTGGATTCCCAGCATCTCCTTTGGGGAGGCATCTTAGATTTTCCCCTACGAATGGTAAGAGATAGTTCAGTGTTTACATGAGAACAACTAGAATTTGCTAACAAATGTTAAACATGCAGTTTTAAAACTGTAGCCTCACTGATTACTTTTTGTCTCCATACTTTGGGGCGGTGCCAGAGACTTACATGGCCAAACTTAGGTGAAGTAGAAAGGGCACAGGGTGCATTTTCTGTCAAGGTAAATCCTAAGCTGCTGCCCCGTCTTGGTTGTGGAATGTTCTCGGTTGGTATAACTTCCTTACTCAACATGTAGAATAACCTTCCCCTCCAGAGATTTCTCATGGCTGGCCTTTAAGACTATAAAATGTAACAGGGCAGCATAACAAAATTGTTCTGTAGTTGGGGATTTTTGTCTGTTTGAGTTTTTACGTTAGCTAATAATGATTTTCACCTGACAAGCCTCTACCGTGTCCTCCAGACCCAGCTCCGAGGACGTCTTTGTGAATACTGAGTTCTCACACTCCCCACCCGCACCTAGTTGCCGCCTTCCCTCAAACCTCAGCCACAGCTGTTTTGTATCTGATTTGTCAGCCATAGCATTTTCTTATTAGATAGTCACTTCTTCACGGACACTTTTATATCCTTACGTTTCGTGCAGCCCCTGCGACTATTGGACGTAACTGAATTATAGCAGCTGTGTTTTCTATTGTGTTAATATACTGAAATGCCTTATTCTTACTTTATAACTTTATCCTATTTCATTTAAAAGAATTTCTCAATCTTTCCGGCCTACCTTGGTATGGCTTGATATCAGTGTTTATGGTGAAAATACCTCTTAGAAACTTTTTGTATAGAAATAGTTGTTCATAATTTAGAGTAAACATTTTAGCAATGTTTTAGGGTACAACTTTCTTCTAATTGCCTTTGCATTATACATTTTTATAGTTTTTGAAATAAGTCCTGTGATTTAGAAAAAAATCACAGTTTAAGTACAATCCGATATTTATGTGCACTTCTCCTTTTCTGCTATCCTCATTTATCTGCACCTGTGTTAGATACTGACACACGAATTATATGTATACACCTACACACACACACACACACACGCACACACACTCAAGAATGTATAACACCATCCCTGGCTTCTCTATCCACTAGATAAATGCCAGTAGCAACCACCACCAACCTCTGCCCCCCAAGCTGTAACAACCAAATGTGTCTCTAACCTTGTCCAGGGAAGGGAAGGCAGAATTTCCTGACTGAGAACCATTTCTATACATAAGTTTTGCCTGTTCTAAAATTGCATATAAATGGAATCGTGGAGTAGATATTCTTTTCTGTCTGGCCTTTTTCGCTCAATGTGTTTTTCAAATGTATCCATTTTTTAAAATGTGAATTAGTAGTTCTTTCCTTTTGTGGTTTATCCATTCCTGTTAGACATTTGTGTATGTGTGTGTGTGTGTTTTAAGTTTGGGGCTGTATGAATAAAGCTGTTGTGAAAGTGCTTGTACAGATTTTGCATGGACATATGTTTTTTTTGGGGGGGTTGTGATACCAAGGAATAGATTTGCTGGGTTATATAGTTGGCATGTAATTAAGTTTATAAGAAACTGTCAAACTGTTTTCCAAAGTGGTTGTAGCATTGAAGATTCCTATCACCGATGTATGAAAGTTCAATTTATATACTACATCCCCAAACACTTGGTATTTTCAGGCTTTTAATTGTACTTATTTTAGTGGGAGTGTTGTGGTGTCTCATTGTGCCTTTAATTTTTATTTCTCTGAGAACTAGAGATACTGAGCTCCTCTGAGCTTTTTGCTATTAGTGCTTCTGCTTTTGTGAAATGTCTGCTTATGTAATTTCCCTGACTTTTTAAAGTATGGTATTTTTGTTGTTTTTTTGGTCTCACTATTGAGTTGTAGTTATTTATATATTCTGGACTGACGTCCTTTATCAATATGTGTTTTAAAAATATTTTTCCCAGTATGGTTTGCATTTTCAGTTTTTAAAAGTGTGTCTTAAGAACAAAGGTTTTTAATTTCACCACATTGAATTAATCAGTTTTTTCTTTAATGATTCATGCTCTTTGTGTCCTAGTGTGGTAATTTTATTTGTGAACCCACAGTCTCGTTGAGTAACCTTCCTCTTTCACATTTTCTGTTTCGTGATCATACCTACTTTTTCTCAGAGCACGCATCTCATTGAACTCAGTGTTCCCTTTTTATTACTGTCAGCACTAAAAATGCCATAATTACAGTCTTCCAAAGTGCCCATCTCTTCTGCTTTACAAAGTAGTTCCTACCTGTTAGATTGGAGTTGGGTGTAGTGCTTCCTCTGGTTTCTGAGAGAGAAAACATCAACAATATTTCTAAAAGTTCCCAAATTCATTGCTCTTAGCTGAATGAGACTTGCCACTATTGTCTGGACTATATACTCATACATCCTTAAATATATCTGTTATATACCTGTCATTTTTCTTGCCTGTGCCTTTCCAGTACTTTCAAAATTATTATTAATTGTTGCAGAAATTTATTCATATATTTTCATTGCTTAACAGTGATAAATATAGGTAGTGTTCAGTATTTTATATTGGTCAATATATTTCTCAAATTTTGTGATCAATTAAGGATTGATTGTAGGGATCCAAAAGATTTTTTTAATTGATTTTAGAGAGAAGGAGGAAGATGGAGAGAGAGAAAAACGTCATTTGTTGTTCCACTTATTTATGCATTGGTTGGTTGATTCTCATATGTGCCCTGCACAGAGATGGATCCTGCAGCCTTGGTGTGTGAGGATGATGCGCTAACTAACTGAGCATCCTGGCCAGGACCAGGATCCAGAAGATGTTTAATGCATGTTCTTGATGGAGAAGCAAGACTAACACGTGAAAGAACTATAGAATAGTCTTCCGTAACAGGGACAATAGCATAAACATTCAGATACAGAAAAATCACTATCTGTTATGCTAATAAAATAGCCCTTGTGGAGAAAGTAAGGCTTAAATTCGACCATCAAGAATGACTGAAATTTTGACTAAATAGTAACTTTATTATTTGGCCAAATTTAGACTCTTTATCTGGAGCGAGGAAAGGAAAAGGAAGTGAGGTTAAAGAAGATATAATATTTATTTTATATTCTGCCTCATTTAAAACATCTTCTGGAAACATGCTTACCATTATCTGGCTCCCCATTTACTGTAGTGTTTCCATCTGGGTGGCTGTAAAAACACACAGCGATGTTTTAAGCCCTTGTGGGTACTGTGGCTAAATGGAAGCAAGACGGAGGTATTAACCAGGGAAAACAGATCTTACTTCTGTCAGAAATTAAAATTGCATGGTATGATTTTCGAAGAAGAAAGTGAGAAGTGATCTCCAGAATGTATGCTTGTTTGTTTTTTAAAAACCTTGGTTGGAATAAAAACTTCCAGAAATTGGTACATTTTCATTTTGTTTATTAGTATTTTTAGATCCCAAACTAAATTTGGTTAATTTGGGTTTTTTATGGTTTTTAACAGTGACCCTTCCCATGGCTGTATAATGGTCAACTGGAAAACAACACTTGCTGTGGTCTAAAAATACACTGTTAATATAAACTACAAATATCACTTGAGAAAGGGCTTATCCAAGGTGGGGCAAAAGTGGGTTTACAGTTGCTTATGTGGAACCTAATACAATAATTAATAAAAAATAATACTAGGATAAACTGTTTTGCATACTCAAATCATAAACCTACTTTTGCCCCACCCTTCTATTAACAGCCTATTTTTTTCCTTATAGGTAGTTGTTTTTTACTGGCTTCTACCAATAAGTAGAGAATTGATGATGAATAATGGTTTCTAAATAACTTTTTAGAAAGATTTTATTTATTTTTAGTGAGAGGGGAAGGGAGGGAGAAAGAGAGGGAGGGGAACCTCAGTTGATTGCCTCTCATATGGGTCGCCTCTCCACAAGCCCCAACCAGGACCGAACCTGCAGCCCACGCAGGTGCCCTGACTGGGAATCAACCTGTGACCTTTCACTTTGCAGGATGATGTGTGGCCAACCAAGTGAGCCACACCAGTTAGGACTGTGGTGTCTAAATTATTGATACCAAAAGCATACTTGTTGATTTTAGATACTGTTCTGCTATGTGGCCATATGTCGGGTGCAATTTTTTGAAATACAGCTGACATATAACATTGTATTGGTTTTAGGTCTACAACAGA